ATATATTGTTGAAGACTGAGTTTGGGAAACCCTGCTCTACGGGCATATCAAAGTTCCAGAGTGGGATCTCTGCTACTTTTAGAGTTATGATCCAATTTGTAAGCACAAGAAAACAGAGTGAATGTGAAAATGGATTCAAAATGGTCGCCCTCCGCTGGTGATTTGCAGGATGTGCAATGATACAAGTAAAAGGAGGGCTGTGATTGGTTACATTGCCTACTATGCCAATTTCTCTGTATCATATGGGCCATAACTTTTAAAACTAGCAGATATCTCACTCTGGAACTTTGATATACCCGTAGTGTATATTATGTTCAACAATATATTTAAAAATGTGCCTTTTTTTATTGCATAAAACACAATGTTTGTATACTTCCGGAAACCCAGCGAAAAGTTCTGGTCCTTTGTAGCTCAATTGGTAGAGCATGGCGCTTGGACCACCCATACGTAGAAATGTATGCACACATGACTGTAAGTCGCTTTGGATAAAAGCGTCTGCTAAATGGCATATTATTATTATTGTTGACTAAATTCATGCTAATATAGTTTTTTGGAGCTGGCGCCCAACTGCCTCCCATTCACTCCTTGAAGGAGAGCTCTCCTTGTCCCAGAAAGCACCGCGCGGCCCTTGACGACGTATGAGCAACGTACACCAATGGGCGTTAATAAAATTCCAATGGAGTTTCCCAATCTCCTTAAGAGTATCTCTGGTTGAGTTTCCCGCACCAAGCTAATTATTTCACATGTCATGAGTATTCGCCAAGCCATCGTCCCAAATAGGAATATCGAAAATGGAATCAGAATAAGTGGCTACTTATGATGCACGCATAGGTATGTATCCAGCATTTGCTTTTGTAAGTTGTCTTCAATATCAGCAAGCGAGGGACAAAGCCAGTTAGCTTGCTAGCTAGCTGCTAGCTTCGAATACATTTTCCGACATCTCTCACAGCACTAAAATACAGTGACAGTTAGCCTGCCAGTATTTACACTATTCTAGGTACATACGATTTCATACTAGCAATGCAAAATTGAGAAACCCACCCCATTCATGGGGCCCATGTCTTGTCTTACAGAAGTCACAGGTCAGGAGAAAGTTAGCCCTTGATAAAGACTCTAGTCTCAGTTCCATTACACATAATTAAGAGTCACTGGACAAAGGCATCTTCAGTAGGGCCCGGGGGAAGTTTGGTAAAAATCCCTGATGCTTGGTATGAACATGAACATGAATCGCTTGCGGTACGGTTGTGGAAGCATAAGGAACTTATGTTTCATATCAGCGAGGAAAAAATATTCAAAAAACAAAAGGTTAAATTCATTCACACATTGATAGGGTTAGTGTTCCCACCCGGCCATATCTCTATGTTACAGCGCTTGTTTACGGAAGACAAGACGCGACCACCTGTGCTAATTACATTTAATTTTTTAGTCATTTAGCAGACGCTCTTATCCAGAGCGACTTACATTATCTTTTTATTTTTCATACTGGCCCCCGTGGGAATCAAACCCACAACCCTAGCGTTGCAAACGCCATGCTCTACCAACTGAGCTACATCCCTGCCAGGATCTCTAGTGGCACAGCTAGCACTGCGATGCAGTGCCTTAGACCACTGCGCCACTCGCGAGTCAAAATACATATCTAGCATGCTCTGAACGCCTCTCTAACTAGGGAAATTTAGCGGAAAGTGTAATTTTGTAGGATTGACGCACCCATAGCTGTATTCATCTGTGCAACACTGCTACAGTAAGTGTTTTTTATTTATTTGAAAGATGAGGGTGCCCATATATTTCGAAAGCCGTATTGTAGGCGATGATTATTTACATTTCTAAACGAAAAAAAACACAGGCCTCGAGTTAGGAGAAATGTACAGTACCTAGATAAAGTTAGCTAGCTAATTGCTTATAGTGGCACTCCAGTTTTCACCTAATTTTCCTAGTTGCTAAAATTCTAATAGTTCGCCTAATTTCAGATTATGTGACAAAACAAGCAGTGTAGAGAATCATGGTACCATCTAAACCCCTGTGAAATATATTGTATTTTTAGCTGTTCGAAGCTGGTGTACAAAACCAAAAGTAAAAGATGCAAAAACTTAAGCAAGGGAGGCATATAAATAGCGCACATAGAACAGATCTACTGCTTCTTAGACTTGCTTTCCAAGAAAATGACAGATTATAACTCACATTTCTATGTGAATTTGGTCGGGTCACCCAAAAAGTTACATATTGCAGCTTTAAAGACACCCTCCAGCGATTTTTGAACTTTTACTGTTGAAAAGCAATATCCCAAGAATAAATAGAGTGAAGTACACACACTAAAGGGTAAAACAATTATGTTCTGAGCAAAGTTGTCTTTTAGACAACTGCAAACTTCAAGTAGTAGGACATTCAAGGAGGTGGTCTGATGGGAATTTGTGATTTCATTGGTCTCCCCTTTTGGTTACTGGCCCAACGCTCTTAACCGCAAGGCTACCTGCCACTCTTTGAATGTTATACCCCTTGAAGTTTACTTTTTTACCCTTTAGTGTGTGTACTTTACTGTATTTATACTTGGGATCAGAGCATATGAGCGAGCGTGGAGCGGGAGCGGACGGATTTTGAACAGAGCGCAGAGCGGCATTTTTAAAAGGACGGAGCGTCGCCCTATGTCCCGCTCCAATTTCGCTCGCTCACACCACGAGTCTGAAGCATGCTCAAGCCTGACCCAGAATCCATCTGTTTAATTTAATTTGTGTCGTCCATTAATTTGTATTTTATAGAGCGAGAGGAGCAGCAGCAGCAGCAACAAGAGAAAAGTTTTGAGGAATTCAAAAGTTTATAATAATATAATATGCCATTTAGCAGACGCTTTTATCCAAAGCGACTTACAGTCATGCGTGCATACATTTTTTTGTGTATGGGTAGTCCCATACACTGCACGCAAAGGCCCATCCATAACAAGGGAGAGAAAAAGAGAGCTGGATGTAGCATTTTTTGAAATGATTTTCATGGACTATGAACCGCTGAGTAAAGGAGAACGCGAAGGGATGCAACACTTCGCCAGCGCAGCTCAACCGGGCTACCCCCCCATGCTATAACACCGTACGGGACACGCTCATGCCACATGCTCTGGAAGAGATGGAAGCCAAACTGCAAGACCTACTGCAAAATGGTGATGGGCTCGTTCTGTCAGCAGACATTTGGACCAGTAGAAGAGGGCACAGCTTCCTTGGCATCGTGGCCAGTTTCATTGATGGAACGTTCAGGGGGCACACGGTTTTGTTGGGCTGTGAGCACATACAGGGGCACCATACCGCAGATCGTATTTACCAAAAGTATGAAAGTGTACTTAAATATTGGAACGTGCAACGACATGTGATTCGGGTCGTCACTGACAGTGCCAGCAACATGATCAAGGCGTTTAACCTTCTCCCTGGCACTGAAGAGGAGGCGGAGGGTGAAGTGACTGCGGATGCCAGCAGCAGCGCAGAACATGAAGAGGAGGATGAGGGACCACCTGCGCCCTCGCAAGTCCATGTGGAAGTGATAACCTCTAATGTAGAAACTATGGTAAATCAGTACTTTACTTTGTCAAATTTACATCTGAGATGCCCCATTCACATGCTTCAGCTGGCGATCAAAGACGCCGTTAACAAGCACGACAACATTAATAGGCTGTTAGTGAAAGTCGGGCACCTGGTGAAAAGTGTACGCAAGAGCACAGAGGAAACCGACCAATTAGGTGTCCGCCCCACAAATGCCTGTGCCATTCGATGGAGCAGCCAGCTGCGGATGATTCAGTCGTTCATCCGGTTGTTCCAAAAAGACCCGTTATGGCAAAACAAACTCAAGTCTAATGTTGCTAACATCACCCTGAATCAAGTACGGCAGCTGACGCACCTTGTCAGTGTGCTGACACCACTAGCAGACCTCACAGACAAAATGCAGAAGGAGCTGGGTAACCTGGGGATGATCCTCCCTGCTGTCACAGAAATCAAATCCCTGCTCACCGATTACACTCACGCTGCACTTCCAATGGGCATCGCTGCTTTTACAGAAACATTGGCAAACAACGTGTCAATTCGCTATGGAATATACTATACTGATTAACATCTCATTTTAGCGTCAGTGTTAGATCCCCGTTTCAAGACAGAATGGATAATCCGAGATGAGTCTGTATGCAACAAATTCGGGGAGATAAAGTAAGGCTGTGGTTTAAGCTAAAAGTGAAATACATGCAGATTTTGTTCCTTTTTTGGAGTGAGCGGGGGGCGATTTGAGTGGAGCGCGATGCAAACTGCGTTGAGCGCTGAGCGATAATGAGCGGACTGGCCTGATGTGGCTTTGAGCGGGGGGAGCGGAGGGGTGAACAGCTCCGTGAGCGAGGAGCTGAGATTCTCACCGCTCCACTCCGCTCATATGCCCTGCTTGGGATATCACTTTTCAACAGAAAAAGTTCCTAAATCACTGGAGGATGTCTTTTTAAGTTTAGTTATGTAGCTAGCTAGCTAGCTACTACTAGTAGGAACAGTTTCTACATTCTAGTGATATAATTGAAAATAATAATAATATGCCATTTAGCAGACGCTTTTATCCAAAGCGACACAGTCATGTGTGCATTCATTTTTACGTATGGGTGGTCCCGGGGATCGAACCCACTACCCTGGCGTTACAAGCGCCATGCTCTACCAATTGAGCTACAGAGGACCACATTATGAATACAGGTGGCCTAGCTAGCTAAACCTTGATGACCTCCTTGATGTCAATTATTTAACAGCTTTCTATCAGATGGCTAACGGCTGTATGTCTGTTTTCATTTATAGGAGGAACAGCAGAATGGACAGCCTTTAGTTCTGTAAGGAACTGCAGAATGTGCCTTAAACACACAAGTCACCATGAGGTTACCGAAGTTGGCCATTGTTTTTGTCTTCTTGGGCTGCCTGGCGGCTTACCTGATGTTTGTTAAGCACCACTATGATGGTGTAAGGCCAGCCATCTCTAAAATACCACCTCACTTCCACCCCAGATTGGGCTTGTTGGGCAGCCCCAATAGACCAACGTCCTCAGAAGTGGTCAGCCAACGTTTCCAGTATGGCGTTATGTTTGATGCTGGGAGCACAGGGACAAGGATCCATGTCTTCAAGTTTCAACTGGAGGACAATGGTACGGTACATGTGAAAACAAATATTACACCCCTTGCCTGGGAGAGGTAGAAAATAATGTAGAAATGTTACTTCCATACCTCTCAACTGAAAATGTATATTGGCTCTATTCTATCCATTCATGGACTTGTTTGGGTGCATAGAATAAGATGCAAATGTAGTTGACCAAAATTAATCAATTAAATGTAGATTTCTGCATTGCTTTTAGCATTTGTAAGCCATGTGAGGCAGCAAAAAGTATTAATTACAGATTTGAATCTGTGTGATAAGGCTTTCAGGCTTAATTTGTATTATGTGCTTTGATGTTGCCAGTACAAAATGCACATAAATTCATTACTCCATTTAGGGCCTCATATTAGGCTTACGCTACCTCATATCAGGAATCCTAAAAAAAAGTTTCAGTAAAGCTTCGCCAAATGGCTTAGTTATCGCATTTATTTCAACATTAAGCTAAATCACATAAGTGCTGTTTTGGCGTTATTGTTAAATCTATGATTGTTATTCTAATGGTTACCAAGCACCTGCTATTTATGTTGATATGGCCTTAATCGTTTTGTGCAGACACGCCACATGACAGTAGAGGTCATAAGCATCACAGAAGAAATGTAGAAATTCTGACAACAAGATAGAACAAGTCACTTGTTATGGCAGTGTTATGTAGGCTACTGTATAATATCAGGCAGCTTGCCATGGATCTCTGCCTTTGCGGTAACTAACTATTAGCATTAGTTAAATCTACATTATCACCCTACAATTCACTTTATTAAATGTTAATTAAATGACAACAGTATTTCACTTTATTCAACTTTTTTGTTGTTTTTGTCATTTTTTTTCCCACAGAGGCTCCTAAATTGGCTCATGAAACATTCAGAGCAATAAAACCAGGTCTATCTGCATATGCTGATGATCCAGAGAAGGTAATCAACTTAATGCATTCTGAAAGTATTCAGACCCCTCCACTTTTTCCACATTTTGTTACGTTACGGCCCTATTCTAAAATTGATTAAATAAATACAAATCCTCATCAGTCTACACACAATACCCCATAAGGACAAAGCGAAAACAGGTTTTTAGAAATTTTTGCAACAAAAAAAAACCCCAGATACCTTTGTTTACATAAGTATTCAGACCCTTTGCTAAGAGACTCAAAATTGAGCTCAGGTGCATCCTGTTTCCATTGATCATCCTTGATGTTTCTACAACTTGATTGGAGTCCACCTGTGGTAAATTCAATTGATTGGACATGATTTGGAAAGGCACACACCTGTCTATATAAGGCCCCACAGTTGACAGTGCATGTTAGAGCAAAAACCAAGCCATGAGGTCGAAGGAATTGTCTGTAGAGCTCCAAGACAGGATTGTGTCGAGGCACAGATCTGGGGAAGGGTACCAACACATTTCTGCAGCATTGAAGGTCCCCAAGAACACAGTGGCCTCCATCATTCTTAAATGGAAGAAGTTTGGAACTACCAAGACTCTTCCTAGAGCTGGCCGCCTGGCCAAACTGGGCAATCGGGGGAGAAGGGCCTTGGTCAGGGAGGTGACCCAAGAACCCGATGGTCACTCTGACAGAGCTCCAGAGTTCCTCTGTGGAGATGGGAGAACCTTCCAGAAGGACAACCATCTCTGCAGCACTCCACTAATCAGGCCTTTATGGTAGAGTGGCCAGACGGAAGCCACTCCTCAGTAAAAGGCACATGACAGCCCGCTTGGAGTTTGCCAAAAGGCACCTAAAGGACTCTCAGACCACGAGAAACAAGATTCTCTGGTCTGATGAAACCAATATTGAACTCTTTGGCCTGAATGCCAAGCGTTACTTCTGGAGGAAACCTGGCACCATCCCTACGGTGAAGCATTGTGGGGGCAGCATCATGCTGTGGGCATGTTCTTCAGCCGCAGGGACTGGGAGACTAGTCAGGATCGAGGAAAAGATGAACGGAGCAAAGTACAGAGATCCTTAATGAAAACCTACTCCACAGCGCTCAGGACCTCAGACTGTGGCGAAGGTTCACCTTCCAACAGGACAACGACCCTAAGCACACAGCCAGGACAACGTAGGAGTGGCTTCGGGACAAGTCTCTGAATGTCCTTGAGTGGCCCAGCCAGAGCCTGAACTTGAACCCAATCGAACATCTCTGGAGAGATCTGAAAATAGCTGTGCAGCGATGCTCCCCATCCAACCTGACAGAGCTTGAGAGGATCTGCAAAGAAGAATTGGAGAAACTCCCCGAATACAGGTGTGTCAAGCTTGTAGCGTCATACCCAAGAAGACTCCATGCTGTAATCACTGCCAAAGGTGCTTCAACAAAGTACTGAGTAAAGGGTCTGAGTACTTATGTAAATGTGATATTTCAGTTTTTGCTTTGTCATTATGGGGTATTGTGTGTAGATTGATGAGGGGGAAAAAAACAATTTAATCAATTTTAGAATAAGGCTGTAACGTAAAAAAAAATGTGGACAAAGTCAAGGGGTCTGAATACTTTCTGAATGCACTATATTTTGACAAAAAGATTTGTGCCACATCTACAGTTGACATAGTCCTGAAAGTAGGCAATTTCTTATTGCCCTGACAATATCTTTTGAAATCTAATCTCTTGCCTTCTCTGTGGGTTGTTTCTCAGTGTAAAGAAGGGATCTTGGAGCTGTTGGAGGTGGCCCAGGGCAGCATTCCCTCCTCTGTGTGGAGCAGCACTCCTCTGGTCCTCAAGGCCACCGCAGGCCTTCGCCTTCTGCCTGGGGAGAAGGCCACACACCTACTGGACAGGGTGAGCTTTCGCCACTGTCTGTGGAGTCACTGCATAGATAGATGACCAGACCACAAACACTCTGCACCAACCACACTCTCACCCTGTGGAGTTATAATTCGTGTTAGCTGTCTTGTTACATTTCACTCTGATTTCTAACTTTACACTGTAAAAATGGGAGTTGTGGTGGAAAGAGAATGTAGGTTGGCAGCGGTCAAGGCATGAGTTGCCCACTTAGAAATGAGCTAAGCTATGTAATTGCATAGCATGTCTACATTTACCCCTAACTGTAATACTATCAGCTGAAAGCAATTTAATGTCATGAGTTTATTGCATAAGTGACCTGTTATGCGCTTGTTTGATCGCCTGTCAGTGTTTCGGATCCTCCACTACTTTCACACATCCTCCTCTCCACCTCTTTTTATTTCGCCATTTAATAGCCTGTAACAGATTCACATAAGGACAACACATCCTAAACCTATAATACTGCTATTTAGTTGTTAGTTGACATGTTGCATTGATCCCTTCTACCTGTTACTTGGCAGTGTTACCTCACCCAACCCCTTTTTACAACAAAGGGAGGTGTGGCTTGAATTCAATCTATATAGTAAATTACGTAAATAGTCGACATGCATGTATTGAAAACAGTTATCTTTTAGAAAGAATTGTGTCATGTACCTGAAGTATGCATGTGGAAAACAGCTTCCAAACATGATTGTGAACTGACCTAAAGCTTTCTGTCAAGGTGAGAGAGGTGTTTGTGGAGTCTCCATTCCTGTCCAGAGGGGACAGTGTATCCATAATGGATGGCACTGATGAAGGTATGTCTGGCCCTCACCCACCTGTAGTTTCACAAAACACGGCCTTCCTGTGCAGGTATTTCTAGCGCCATGTAGGGCTGTGACGGTCATGGAATTTTGGATGACTGTTATTGGTCAGCCAAATGATTGCGGTCACCGTTATAACCGTTCGAATAGCACAAAAAAAGACAGACATTTTCTCCGCGACTGACTGCATGTGCTGCTGCTGCAGGGAGGGGGGCCTTGTTTAGGCAACCCAAGACTTGTTTGCTACAACACCATGTTGTTTTGCTTCTTTCAGCAAGGAGCAACAAAGTTTCATCCAAGATTCTGGTAACTAACCCAAGATATCTCACCAGCGTCGTTTCCAATGGGAGCAAATGAAGCATAAGCACGGAGGTGGGCAGAGCCAAGCACAAGCTAGCGAGATCCTATTTTTAACTGCACTGCCCCTTAAGCATTTTTAGACTGTGCCAGACTGATTGCGCTACCATAATACCCATAGCCTGTCCAGAAACAACCCGTAGCCCCTACTGCCCAGAGTCTAGACACTTATGGAGATCTGAGAGGGATTGATGGGTGGTAACATGGTGAGAGCTCCACCTTACCCTCTGAAAGGCTTGCTGGAATTTTGGCAGTATTGCTTACACCTGTCCAATCTTCTTGGATCTCCAAAAGTGTCTAGGGCTAGGGGTTGCTTCTGGACAGGACCTCACAACCCTCCGGGTGTGTGGTGGACCTACAGCACTACTCAAGGCATTGGTTGAATGCTTTATTCCATTGCTATACACATGGATTTGCACACGTGTAAGCTGGACACACCCACGGCACCCTATCAGGCTGATCAGACAGTGCTGGGTAGCTGAAGACCTACTGTAAACAGTGAAATAATATATTTACATGTCTACTATTCACACCCTTGCTTCATTCCAGCTAGCTAGATGTGCAACCATAACTAACTATAGCTAGGGGCATATCTCTAGTCTAGCAATAGATACTGTTGTTTTGGCTGTATGGCATCAGTGAATAAGATTACCAATGGTTAGTTAGGTAGCTAGGATATATCAGTCAATTAACCATTTACAATAACAGCAGTTTATTAAGTCAATACACACTAAATCTTATGCAGAAATTATCTTGGCACTATGGCACGGTATGGCAGCTATTAATCGATTAGTTAATAGATCAGATTCATACAATGGATATATTTCCCTTCATAGACTGATCAATCGCTGCATCAAAATAGTGACAGCACAGCGTGCTCCGACTTTGAAAGGACAGGAAGTGTTGGCTGTGCACTTAAATAATGACAGGCATTCCACGTTTAACCCCACCCACGTGTGAAAATCGAAATATGTTTTATGTGCAAAAAACGAAAAACAAACAAGCCATTTATTTTTTCTATTGAAAAACTAATAAACAAGCCGTTTTCAAGTTCCCGATTGCTCCATTTTAACTCGGAAAACAAAAGATCAAAACCTACAGGACCGTAATCTTGACATAATGTTGTCCACAACACAGGCTAATTATCTTGACTGACGTAACAACATAGACATAAATGTCAATTCTCCAGATCAACATTAATTGGAGGACATTGGCTGTTGTTCAATCGTGTGCAGTATCACGCCAGCTCTTTATCACTTGACTGTCATTCAGAAAATCCTTTCCAGAATCAACGATAATTTCCCTACATAACTAAACAGCCAGACATCAAATGTGCATCAAACAACTATTATGCATAATTATTGAAGAACCCCGTTAATGACAGTATCGATTTTCTTATTTTATTTGATTCATCTTGTTAAAGTTACACTTTGTTAGAAGCATTCGATTTTCAAATCCATACATTATTTGGGATGTGTGCCCATGAAAACTGTTTGCACACCATAACATAGGGAGATACGAAATGTTACGAGGTTACAGTGTACTTCCGAAATCTCAATAAATAAATAAATATCTGGTTCATTGTGTAATTCAATTGTTAAATGCTTAGTATATGATATAACCACAAACGTCAATATCATAAATGTAAGGAAATAAATTTAGTTTTGTCACAAGATTTTTGCCAAATCTGTGAAGACTCCAAGCATGAGAAAGGGTTTAAACAGGTTTTGATTCAACTCATGAATTATATTGAATGTACAGTTGAAGTCGGAAGTTTACATACACTTAGGTTGGAGTCATTAAAACTCGTTTTTCAACCACTCCACAAATTTCTTGTTAACAAACTATAGTTTTGGCAAGTAGGTTAGGACATCTACTTTGTGCATGACACAAGTAATTTTCACAACAATTGTTTACAGACAGAATATTGAATTTATAATTCACTATCACAATTCCAGTGGGTCAGAAGTTTACGTACATGAAGTTGACTGTGCCTTTTAAACAGCTTGGAAAATTCCAGAAAATGAAAACATGGCTTTAGAAGCTTCTGATAGGCTAATTGACATCATTTGAGTCAATTGGAGGTGTACCTGTGGATGTATTTCAAGGCCTACCTTCAACCTCAGTGCCTCTTTGCTTGACATCATGGGAAAATCAAAAGAAATCAGCCAAGACCTCAGAAAATTTTTTGTAGACCTCCACAAGTCTGGTTCATCCTTGGGAGCAATTTCCAAATGCCTGAAGGTACCACGTTCATCTGTACAAACAAAAGTACGCAAGTATAAACACCATGGGACCACACAGCTGTCATACCGCTCAGGAAGTAGATGCGTTCTGTCTCCTAGAGACTAACGTACTTTGGTGCGAAAAGTGAAAATCAATCCCAGAACAACAGGAAAGGACCTTGTGAAGATGCTGGAGGAAACCGGTACACAAGTATCTATATCCACAGTAAAACGAGTCCTATATCGACATAACCTGAAAGGCCGCACAGCAAGGAAGAAGCCACTGCTCCAAAACCGCCATTAAAAAAAGCCAGACTACGGTTTGCAACTGCACATGGGGACAAAGATCGTACTTTTTGGAGAAATGTTCTGGTCTGATGAAACAAAAATAGAATGTTTGGCCATAATGACCATTGCTATGTTTGGAGGAGAAAGGGGGACGCTTGCAAGCCGAAGAACACCATCCCAACCGTGAAACACAGGGGTGGCAGCGTCATGCTGTGGGGGTGCTTTGCTGCAGGAGGGATTGGTGCACTTCACAAAATAGATGGCATCATGAGGAAGGAAAATTATGTGGATATATTGAAGCAACATCTCAAGACATCAGTCAGGAAGTTAAAGCTTGGTCGCAAATGGATCTTCCAAATGGACAATGACCCCAAGCATCCTTCCAAAGTTGTGGCAAAATGGCTTAAGGACAACAAAGTCAAGGAATTGGAGTGGCCATCACAAAGCCCTGACCTCAATCCTATAGAAAATGTGTGGGCAGAACTGAAAAGGCGTGTGCGAGCAAGGAGGCCTACAAACCTGACTCAGTTACACCAGCTCTGTCAGGAGGAATGGGCCAAAATTCACCCAACTTATTGTGGGAAGCTTGTGGAAAGCTACCCAAAACGTTTGACCCAAGTTAAACAATTTAAAGGCAATGCTACCAAATACTAATTGAGTGTATGTAAACTTCTGACCCACTGGAAATATGATGAAAGAAATAAAAGCTGAACTAAATCATTCTCTGTACTATTATTCTGACATTTCACATTCTTAAAATAAAGTGGTGATCCTAACGTACCTAAGCCAGGGAATTTTTACTAGGATTAAATGTCAGGAATTGTGAAAAACTGAGTTTAAATGTATTTGGCTAAGGTGTATGTAAACTTCCGACTTCAAATGTATCTATGTTCCCCCTTTCTATACTGAACAAAAATATAAATGCAACATACAACAATTTTAAAGATTTTACTGAGTTACAGTTCATATAAGGAAATCAGTCAATTGAAATATTAATTAGGCCCTAATCTATGGATTTCACATGACTGGGAATACAGATATGCATCTGTTGGTCACAAATGCCTTAAAAAAAATTAAAATAACCAGTCCGTATCTTGTGTGACCACCATTTGCCTCATGCAGCGTGACACATCTCCTTCGCATAGAGTTGATTGTGGCCTGTGGAATGTTGTACGACTCCTCTTCAATGGCTGTGCAAAGTTGCTGGATATTTGATGTAACTGTAACACGCTGTCGTACACGTAGATGCAGAGCATCCCAAACATGCTCAATGGGTGACATGTCTGATGAGTATGCAGGCCATGGAAGAACTGGGACATTTTCAGTTTCCAGGAATTGTGTACAGATCCTTGCTGCATGGGGCCGTGCATTATCATGCTGAAACATGAGGTGATGGCAGCGGATGAATGGCACGACAATGGGCCTCAGGATCTCATCACGGTATCTCTGTGCATTCAAATTGTCATCGATAAAATGCAATTGTGTCCGTAGCTTATACCTTCCCATACCATAACCCAACCGCCACCATGGGGCACTCTGTTCACAATGTTGACATCAGCAAACCGCTCGCCCAAATGTCTGCCATATGCCCGGTACAGTTGAAACCGGGATTCATCTGTGAAGAGCACACTTCTCCAGTGTGCCAATGTCCATCGAAGGTGAGCATTTGCCCACTGATGTCGGTTACGACGCCAAACTGCAGTCAGGTCAAGACCCTGGTGAGGATGACGAGCATGCAGATGAGCTTCCCTGAGACTGTTTCTGACAGTTTGTGCAGTCATTATTTGGTTGTGCAAACCCACAGTTTCATCAGCTGGTCTCAGATGATCCCGCAGGTGAAAAAGCCTGATGTGGAGGTCCTGGGCTGGTGTAGTTACACGTGGTCTGCGGATGTGAGGCCGGTTGGACATACTGCCAATTTCTCTAAAACGACATTGGAGGCAGCTTATGGTAGAGAAATGAACATTAAATGCTCTGGCAACAGCTCTGGTTGACATTCCTGCAGTCAGCATGCCAATTGCACACTCCCTCAAAACTTGACAAAACTGCACATTTTAGAGTGGCCTTTTCTTGTCCCCAGCACAAGGTGCACCTTTGAAATGATCATGTTGTTTAATCAGCTTCTTGATATGCCACACCTGTCAGGTGGATGGATTACCTTGGCAAAGGAGAAATGCTCACTAACAGGGATGTAAACAAATTTGTTCACAAAATCTTAGAGAACATTTCTGGGATGTTTTATTTCAGCTCATGAAACATGAGTATGCAGGCCATGGAAGAACTGGGACATTTTCAACTTCCAGAAATTATGTACAGATTGTTGCGACATCGGGCCGTGCATTATGTGCACCTGTGTAATTATCATGCTGTTTAATCAGCTTCTTGAGGCCACACCTGTCAGGTGGATGGATTATCTTGGCAAAGGAGAAATGCTCACTAACAGGGATGTAATTTGTGCACAACATTTAAGGGAATGTTTTTTGGATCTTTTATTTCAGCTCCTGAATCATGGGACCAAAACTTTACATGTTGTGTTTATATTTTTGTTCAGTGTATATGTTAATGTATCATGTGATGGGGAAAGAAAAGTCAAATTATTATGAATTACTTTGTAATCACTCCAAATAGTTACTACAAGAAATGCTCACTGGTACCCTTATTTATAGAAATACCCAAATATGAAATGCATGAGCATGGTAGCAATTTAAAGGAAACAGTTTAAAGATTCTGGGTAAATTATTAGGACAACAATTCACCTGACCCAAGACTGAATCCAAACATTACACTGTTGATTTTATGTGCATTTTACATTTACTGTACTTTTTACCGCATTTGTTGATAATGAAATCTGAAAATACTCTGGATACATTCAGTAACATAAGAATATTCCTGGAAAATGTGGGGTAGGTGCAACATCAGACAACAAAATAACAAGGGTTTGAGTGAGGACACACACCTCTCCGAAGTGTGCACACCTCTTAAGTAATTTCACACCTCCTTTGGCCGCCATTCCTTCCAGTTCTCTGCTGCTAATGACTGGAACGAACTGCAAAAATCTCTGAAGCTGGAGACACTTATCTCCCTCACTAACTTTAAGCATCAGTTGTCAGAGCAGCTTACCGATCACTGCACCTGTACACAGCCCATCTGTAATTAGCCCACCCAACTACCTCATCCCCATATTGTTATTTATTTTGCTCATTTGCACCCCAGTATCTCTATTTGCACATCATCTTCTGCACATCTATCATTCCAGTGTTAATACTAAATTGTAATTATTTTACACTATGGCCTATTTATTGCCTTACCTCCATAACTTACTACATTTGCACACACTGTATATATATTTTCTATTGTGTTATTGACTGTGTGTTTTGTTTATCCCATGTGTAACTCTGTTTTTATCGCACTGCTTTGCTTTATCTTGGCCAGGTCGCAGTTGTAAATGAGAACTTGTTCTCAACTGGCTTACCTGGTTAAATAAAGGTGAAATAAAAAGGGTCTTCAACGATAGGGTGCATTTTTTTTTTAGCTCTCCTAGTTGTGCTTTTGAGAAACTAAAGCAAGCACACTTGTAGTTTTGTTTGGAACACAACCCTGAATCCCCGCCATCACACAATTACTATTGTTTACACAATCCAAAAACATCCCATTATAAATCGAAATCTGGGTCAGGTGGGCATCATTTGAAAGCTTGTTCATTTGCGAACATGACTAGCTAAGTCATAAAATACGATCTTACAGTGTTAGGCTTTTACAGGGCAATTCAGATAAATAGATTGTAATTTTGGTATGCATAGAAAGGAGTTCCGCAGCGATTTTTCGTCACAGTAGACAAACAGGCTCATTCTGTTCAGAACAACCCAGGGTATGACGCCATGTCATCTTGTAACTATACATGATTGTTCTTTAATCTTGCATGATGGATTGGCATCAAGAGGAAATAAAGCCTTTTAAGGGAGCATAAATTGGTGAACAGCAGTTATCACAGGACTGGATCCTTGAGAAGGGTTTTCCGCACCACTAACTAGGTTTCCATCCAATTGGCGACAGATTTTCATTTTTTTAAAATACAGTGGGGAAAAAAAGTATTTAGTCAGCCACCAATTGTGCAAGTTCTCCCACTTAAAAAGATGAGAGAGGCCTGTAATTTTCATCATAGGTACACGTCAACTATGACAGACAAATTGAGGGAAAAAAATCCAGAAAATCACATTGTAGGATTTTTAATGAATTGATTTGCAAATTATGGTGGAAAATAACTATTTGGTCACCTACAAACAAGCAAGATTTCTGGCTCTCACAGACCTGTAACTTCTTCTTTAAGAGGCTCCTCTGTCCTCCACTCGTTACCTGTATTAATGGCACCTGTTTGAACTTGTTATCAGTATAAAAGACACCTGTCCACAACCTCAAACAGTCACACTCCAAACTCCACTATGGCCAAGACCAAAGAGCTGTCAAAGGACACCAGAAACAAAATTGTAGACCTGCACCAGGCTGGGAAGACTGAATCTGCAATAGGTAAGCAGCTTGGTTTGAAGAAATCAACTGTGGGAGCAATTATTAGGAAATGGAAGACATATAAGACCACTGATAATCTCCCTCGATCTGGGGCTCCACGCAAGATCTCACCCCTTGGGGTCAAAATGATCACAAGAACGGTGAGCAAAAATCCCAGAACCACACGGGGGGACCTAGTGAATGACCTGCAGAGAACTGGGACCAAAGTAACAAAGCCTACCGTCAGTAACACACTGCGCTGCCAGGGACTCAAATCCTGCAGTGCCAGATGTGTCCCCCTGCTTAAGCCAGTACATGTCCAGGCCCGTCTGAAGTTTGCTAGAGTGCATTTGGATGATCCAGAAGAGGATTGGGAAAATGTCATATGGTCAGATGAAACCAAAATAGAACTTTTTGGTAAAAACTCAACTCGTCGTGTTTGGAGGACAAAGAATACTGAGTTGCATCCAAAGAACACCATACCTACTGTGAAGCATGGGGGTGGAAACATCATGCTTTGGGGCTGTTTTTCTGCAAAGGGATCAGGACGACTGATCCGTGTAAAGGAAAGAATGAATGGGGCCATGTATCGTGAGATTTTGAGTGAAAACCTCCTTCCATCAGCAAGGGCATTGAAGATGAAACGTGGCTGGGTCTTTCAGCATGACAATGATCCCAAACACACCGCCCGGGCAACGAAGGAGTGGCTTTGTAAGAAGCATTTCAAGGTCCTGGAGTGGCCTAGCCAGTCTCCAGATCTCAACCCCATAGAAAATCTTTGGAGGGAGTTGAAAGTCCGTGTTGCCCAGCGACAGCCCCAAAACATCACTGCTCTAGAGGAGATCTGCATGGAGGAATGGGCCAAAATACCAGCAACAGTGTGTGAAAACCTTGTGAAGACTTACAGAAAACGTTTGACCTGTGTCATTGCCAACAAAGGGTATATAACAAAGTATTGAGAAACTTTTGTTATTGACCAAATACTTATTTTCCACCATAATTTGCAAATAAATTCATTAAATATCCTACAATGTGATTTTCTGGAAAAAATATTCTCATTTTGTCTGTCATAGTTGACGTGTACCTATGATGAAAATTACAGGCCTCTCTCATCTTTTTAAGTGGGAGAACTTGCACAATTGGTGGCTGACTAAATACTTTTTTTCCCCACTGTATATATATATATATATCTGCATAAAGAAAATATGCACATTTTCCTATCAGTGGTGTGTTGCCACCAAACGGACTTGTAGCGAATAAAAATGAGTGCGTGATGTAGTGCACACAATGTACTTTCTTGTACAGATTAAAAATTTCCATCGCATTTTCAATTCTACCGATTTTAATTTAGTCACAAACTGTAGAGTTAAATAGCAAATGTGCCTACTCTGGTCTTGACACGTGCGCTTTAGCCAACAGCTTGCAGATACAGTGCGGGTTAATGCTTTTTGAGGTCGGTTCGATTATTAAAATAATCACAGATTTCGGTTTCTCAAAAAAATTTAAACATTAAATGCACTATTCATTATGTGGGTTGAATGATGTAACAATACAGAATAAAACAATTCATAAAAGGCCCATGATGGTAGTGACTGCACATTACTACTTATCACTATTAACCATAATTTATTCACATTACTTTAATAAAATATTTCAGTTGTGTATATTACATTTATTTTATTTGATGACTTTATTATTTCATTTCAAGTCATCTCTATAGAGCTGCTGCCTATGCTGTCTGACAAAATCACTATTTTAGTAGTTCTTCAAAGTAAATATGGCATAGTTTTATGACTGCTGAATACCAACTATCAATCACTTAAATCATGTATTTTTAGTTAGAGATGCCTTGCGAAGCAACTGCTATCTGTCTCTCTCGATCACGCATTCTTCTGTCTCTTATGTAGCAAACGTAAAAGAAACACAGACCGGACAAGTAGGTGTGCAGTGGATTATGGTCATTGTAGTTTATTACCACGTTTTCTGCACTAAACTACGTAGAACCTTGGCCTGTTGGAAACTCCTTACTTCATCGCACAGTTTGGGCTTGATCTGATTTATCTCTAGAGAAACTGCACAATGTGTGCATTGAGCTCACAGAAAAAAGCAGAACGAAATAGAATTCAAATAATTGAACTGACCTCAGTCAATTAGTTGTTTTAAAAAATAACAACGTTTTCAGTTAGTCGCTCGGCACTAGTGTGGGTAGGCTAGTCTACACGTTGAGGTTATTATGGATAAGAGCGAGAATATTTTTATTTGTCAAACGACAGTCAAGCATTGACCATCATGTCACCAGAATAAGACCTTAAATATTTATTGTAAAGGAGCATTAAGCTCATCGGGCACTTTCACCACCCTGGGAAGTTCATAATAACTTTCATCTGTAGCCTAATAAACTTCATGGTATCCCGAGTCGAGGACCACACACCATATCATCACGTGACTCCAAGTTTACTTCGATATGATGGTTGTTATATCAGTATTTGCGCATAAAGGTGTCTCCACTGCCATTTCTTGGATTATTAATTTTACAGACACAAAAAGATCCCACCATGTCGAACAAACAAATTATCTTTCGGCACTTATTAAATTGTACCAAGACTTCCTGTTTCCATCACAACTGTTGTGATTTGTATTTTATTTTTATACGGAATGACTTTACTCGCATGGAGACGTGGTTAGTGTCGCATTGGGTCTGAGAGAGCTAAAGAAGTCACTCAGTTTGACCCGACCCTGATATCCCCAATGCATTAAGAGGGACTTAGCGAATTACGGAAAAGCAAGTTAAACATGTCAATCTACGCTTTAACCTCCATGACTAATAATAGCGAAACTTTGACTTGAGTGCAGAATTAATACAATTGTAAGTAATGGCGTTGGGCCTGGACTGGAGCCCTCTTTGGCCTTTTAGAACCACACAACCACTATATCCCCTCTGTCCAGTGGGAATGCCAGATGATAGAGACTCTCTTTGGTCCATTACTGGCTTGTTTGATCAACATCCAGCTGTTTGGTGGCAGGCAGGGCCTCTGTGGCTATTAGGTTCTGATCCTTTTGGCCCGGGCATTGATGCTTTAATAAGGTTGTTATATAGAAATAATATATACTTTGGTGTTTTATGCTGAAAGGCATGTTTGATATAGGCACAAACAATACATCAACTATTTTTATCCAATCCTTTTAAAGTAGTTGATACAAGCAATTAGGGGACTGTAGAATAATGTTCAGTAGGATAATGTTCCATTTAATCTCTGCAAACCGATTTATTCGCCATTCATTTCTGAGGCTGAAAATGTTTGCTTCTTTCCCCAAGTCTATCAGCTTGTTACAGTGGAGGTGACCTGACCCTTGGAAAATGCCTTTTATGATTACTGAATTAACTTTGAAGTTCACGTTTTCGTGCCTAATGGACATATTCCCCTGGCGTCATTGCTGAGCTGTAATGCTAAACTCCCACTCGATCCATAAACGGATTTCACCGCCTTATCAGTTTGATTTTTGCCACTCTTGCCCCGGACGCTTATCCTAACGGAGATTACTCGGGCTTCTCTGATTTGAACAGACTTATTGTTAATGCAAAAACTAAGTGGTATTTGAGGGAGGCAGGATGGATGAAGTGGACAGTGTATGGTAGCTAAGTGACAGTGTATGGTGATCATGACTTATAGCACAGCACTCTGTTTTGAAGTTTGTTTGTAAATGTAAATCGCTTTTTAACATCCTACTGTAAAAGTCCTTCAACTAGGAAAGGGTCATTAGTGTTGTTAAAGGCACTAATGCACACAATAGAGTCATACTCACAAAGTGCAAACGTTATGCTATATACATACATTGTGGCATAAAACAGTGTAATCTCATTTGACCTAAATAGTTAACCTTAAGCACTGTTCCATGATGAACTTTAAAATGTGATTTCAATGATTTCGATACAAACTATGTATATGTGTTATACATGTATTATGAAGGATTGATTTAAGGGGAATGAGGTAAATCACCATCTCTTTTTCTCCTCAAAGGGATCTCTGCTTGGATCACTGTCAACTTCCTCATAGGTGAGATGGTTTCAAACTGTTTACTGTCAGTTACTACATTTACATTACATTTACATTTACGTCATTTAGCAGACGCTCTTATCCAGAGCGACTTACAATGGCATAGGTAGCATTGGTAAGGATTGATATAGATTCAGCTCCAAGATTAGGAAATATATATATTCCAGTGGGGATGAGACCATCTCTACCAAAAGATGGTCAATATCTGAGTCAAAGGGTCTGGCCTTAGTGTGGTGTGGTGAGGGAGATGGGTCAGTGTTTGTTTGGCGTGACGGTGGATTGAACTAAAGACATCCTGTACTGACCCTACCACCCTCACCCTCAGAGGCCCTGGCCCCAAACTCAATGTTCAGAACAGGCTTAATTCTGGTACATAAACGGAACACCAGCGATATAGATTAATATTCTGGACAAGACATTTTGATTACCTGTAATTGGATTAGCCTAGCGCTGCATCCCCAGTTCCTCTTTGGTGACCCCACCCTCTCTTTTTCCCTCTCTCTCTCTCTCTCTCTCTCTCTGCAGGGGGTCTCCACGGCTCTGACACACCCACTGTGGGGATGCTGGATTTGGGAGGGGGGTCCACCCAGATCACCTTCTCCCCTCAGGATGAGGTACAATAAGGCATCTCTGTTTGATAGCGGACGCTCAAGCCCACAGTCTGTCTCTCTCACACACACACATAATGAAGCCAGATCTCTTCTCTAAAGCAACACAAACTACCGGGATGGCCTCTCATTTTAGGGTTTAATCCGCAAATGCCACGCTAATCCTAAAGGGCTGGTAAATAAACGTTGTTGGACATTCGGTTGGATGGGAGGGGGGTTTCTTGTTCCTTAACTAGGTCAGGTCTTGTACACAAGGGATTGAGGACCAATTTACCATGTCATTACACTGCTTTTCAAAGAGTTTAAACTCTCCCGGCAAGCCGTTCACGCTTTAGGGATGAAATTGGTTTGCAGATTGCGGCAGTTTTTTTCTCTTCTTATTGAGTATATCCTTTTTGTTGGTTTGATGTCAAACAGCACAGTGTGATATCTGTTGTATAAGCTCTAACTGGTCAACCAGGAATTGCAACGGTTAATATAAGAAAACATGTTTGATTCTGACATTTAAATCTATAAATAATGTTTTGCTTGCAAATCTATACAGCCACACAATGATCATTTATGTTTTGCATCTTTTGTTCTCTCCAGAAGACCATCCAGACCTCACCCATCGATTACATGACATCATTTCAGATGTTCAACAGCACCCACACCCTCTACTCACACAGGTACTACCATGCACTATGTTTAGACAGATAGTTGTGCTCTGTGGAAAGCCCTCTTCCCACTGGGCACACACTGGTCATGAAATTACGTTGAACCAATGTGGAATAGATGTTGAATTGACGTCTGTGCCCAGTGGGTTCCGTCTTCATGTCAAACCTACCGTGTGGGGCATCCAACTGCAAACGGGTCACTCCAGCTGCAAAATTGTCTATTTTGTCCTCTACCATGATTTAATTGGGGGAACTTATTGCGATTTAAAACGAAAAAATATGTTTTAAGTGAGAAGTAGGCATTGGTCTGAAGCAGAAAAATTAAGGAAATTCACATGAGCACCACAATGCTTACTTCACCCATGCTCTACCAAGGTTTTCCAGCACACAGCTTTGATCTACTACAGTAGCTATGTTGATCTATTGTACTTCAAACGATGTGTAGGCAGGGTGTGTAGGATTCAAACCTTTCTTAAACAGCCGAAGTCAAATCAAAATTAAAGTTTATTGGTCGCATACACAGTTTAGCAGCTATAGCGGGTGCAGCGAAATGCTTATGCTTCTAGCTTCTAAAGACGCAGTAAAATGTCAGTCAAGTACACAAATAATTTAAAATAAATACAAAAAATCTAATGTGGGAACCAATCTAATTAACAACCAAAATAGCACTGTAACACTAATTAAAATGTGTACACCGGAAGAATTTACAGAAGATATACTAAGAATGGTATGTACAGCAGTACATATATTAGTGGGCTATGTCAAGAATCCAGCATTATAAATATGCGGGATGTATAAACAGTGGACTTAAAATGCAATGTACAGTAGTAGAAGTATTAGAATGAGCTTTGTCGAGAATACAGTATTTAAATACACAGTGTGAAATGAGAAGTGTTTAGTGGTTTAATGTCTCTAACATGGGACAGCAGTGTTGTGTGTGTGTACAGTATATGTGATAACTTGTGTGTATGCATATTCAGACTCTTAGAGGAGGTGCTCCCACAATAATGTGATTTGTACGGCATACAATGTAAAGTAATGGATTCTTCACACAACACACTAAGACATTATCCCATTCCATTATCTTTTCATGCTTTTTTTGTATTATATGAAGGCAAGCTTTGCTTTTATACTTACTTACAAGACCATCGGGCTTGATTGAGTGAGCTGTCCTGCCTGTATTTCCTTAAACCTTTATTTTAGCAATACATGCCATTGAGAAAAATATATTTCATAACATATTTTTTGGATCAGTAGGTGCCCAACATAACACCAGGTGGTGGTGTGTTGGACACAGTCACTCATATAGGTATAGAGTTCTATAGAGCCTGTCTGCATTCCTGATTTCTGTATCCGTTAGCTGTGTAATATTGACATAAGCTCAGAACCACTTGTTTTGCAAACATGGTCCTGTTTTATCTATTACTGTGCTGATCAATGGCCAGTTTGTTACCTCTGTCAAATGAATATGTAGCTTACAGTTGTTTATTTGTATTTCTTATTGCAATAAAGATGGTGACGCTACAATAATACACATTTACAATAGGTTTATATCTAAAAATACATACAGCCTAATGAGAGATATAATATTTATTAATTACTACATGACCAAAAGTATGTGGACACCTACTCATTGAACATCTCATTCCAAAATCATGGGCAATAATATGGAGTTGGTCCCCCCTTTGCTGTTATAACAGCCTCCACTCTTCTGGGAAGGCTTTCCACTAGATGTTGGAACATTGCTGTGGGGACTTGCTTCCATTCAGCCACGAGCATTAGTGAGGTCGGGCATTGATGTTGGGCAATTAGGCCTGGCTCGCAGTTGGATTTCCAATTCATTCCAAAGGTGTTCGATGGGGTTGAGGTCAGGGCTCTGTGCAGGCCAGTCAAGTTCTTCCACACCGATCTCGACAAACCATTTCTGTATGGACCTCGCTTTGTGCATGGGGGCATTGTCATGCTGAAACAGGAAAGGGCCTTCCCCAAACTGTTGCCACAAAGTTGGAAGAACAGAATAGTCTAGAATGTCATTGTATGCTGTAGGGTTACGATTTCCCTTCACTGGAACTAAGGGGTCTAGCCCGAACCATGAAAAAAAGCCCCAGACCATTATTCCTCCTCAACCAAACTTTACAGTTTGCACTATGCATTCAGGCAGGTAGCGTTCTCCTGGCATCTGCCAAACCCAGATTCGTCCGTCGGACTGCCAGATGGTGAAGCGTGATTAATCACTCCCAGAGAATGCGTTTCCATTGCTCCAGAGTCCAATGGCGGCGAACTTTACACCACTCCAGCCGACGCTTGGCATTGCGCATGGTGATCTTAGGCTTGTGTGTGGCTGCTCGGCCATGGAAACCCATTTCATGAAGCTCCCGACGAACAGTTATTGTGCTGGAACTCGGTAGTGAGTGTTTCAACCGAGGACAGATTATTTTTACGCGCTTCAGCACTCGCCGGTCCCGTTCTGTGAGCTTGTGTGGCCTACCTCTTCGCGGCTGAGCCGTTGTTGCTCCTAGACATTTCCACTTCATAATAACAGCACTTACAGTTGACCGGGGCAGCTCTAGCAGGGCAGACATTTTTCGAACTGACTTACATTTTAGTAATTTAGCAGACGCTCTTATCCAGAGCGACTTACAGGAGCAATTAGGGTTAAGTGCCTTGCTCAAGGGCACATCGACAGATTTTTCACCTAGTCGACTCAGGGATTAGAACCAGCGACCTTTCGGTTACTGGCACAACGCTCTTAACCACTAAGCTACTTGCCGCCCGACTTGTTGGAAAGGTGCCACGTTGAAAGTCACTGAGCTCTTCAGTAAGGCCATTCTACTGCCAACGTTTGTCTATGGAGATTGCATGGCTGTGAGCTCGATTTCATACACCTGTCAGCAACGGGTGTGGCTGAAATAGCCAAATCCACTAATTTGAAGGGGTGTCCACATACTTTTGTGTGTGTGTATATACAGTGGGGGAAAAAAGTATTTAGTCAGCCACCAATTGTGCAAGTTCTCCCACTTAAAAAGATGAGAGAGGCCTGTAATTTTCATCATAGGTACACGTCAACTATGACAGACAAAATGAGAAAAAAAATCAAGAAAATCACATTGTAGGATTTTTAATGAATTTATTTGCAAATTATGGTGGAAAATAAGTATTTGGTCAATAACAAAAGTTTCTCAATACTTTGTTATATACCCTTTGTTGGCAATGACACAGGTCAAACGTTTTCTGTAAGTCTTCACAAGGTTTTCACACACTGTTGCTGGTATTTTGGCCCATTCCTCCATGCAGATCTCCTCTAGAGCAGTGATGTTTTGGGGCTGTCGCTGGGCAACACAGACTTTCAACTCCCTCCAAAGATTTTCTATGGGGTTGAGATCTGGAGACTGGCTAGGCCACTCCAGGACCTTGAAATGCTTCTTACGAAGCCACTCCTTCGTTGCCCGGGCGGTGTGTTTGGGATCATTGTCATGCTGAAGGACCCAGCCACGTTTCATCTTCAATGCCCTTGCTGATGGAAGGAGGTTTTCACTCAAAATCTCACGATACATGGGCCCATTCATTCTTTCCTTTACACGGATCAGTCGTCCTGGTCCCTTTGCAGAAAAACAGCCCCAAAGCATGATGTTTCCACCCCCATGCTTCACAGTAGGGTATGGTGTTCTTTGGATGCAACTCAGCATTATTTGTCCTCCAAACACGACGAGTTGAGTTTTTACCAAAAAGTTCTATTTTGGTTTCATCTGACCATATGACATTCTCCCAATCCTCTTCTGGATCATCCAAATGCACTCTAGCAAACTTCAGATGGGCCTGGACATGTACTGGCTTAAGCAGGGGGACATGTCTGGCACTGCAGGATTTGAGTCCCTGGCGGCGTAGTGTGTTACTGATGGTAGGCTTTGTTACTTTGGTCCCAGCTCTCTGCAGGTCATTCACTAGGTCCCCCCGTGTGGTTCTGGGATTTTTGCTCACCGTTCTTGTGATCATTTTGACCCCAAGGGGTGAGATCTTGCGTGGAGCCCCAGATCGAGGGAGATTATCAGTGGTCTTATATGTCTTCCATTTCCTAATAATTGCTCCCACAGTTGATTTCTTCAAACCAAGCTGCTTACCTATTGCAGATTCAGTCTTCCCAGCCTGGTGCAGGTCTACAATTTTGTTTCTGGTGTCCTTTGACAGCTCTTTGGTCTTGGCCATAGTGGAGTTTGGAGTGTGACTGTTTGAGGTTGTGGACAGGTGTCTTTTATACTGATAACAAGTTCAAACAGGTGCCATTAATACAGGTAACGAGTGGAGGACAGAGGAGCCTCTTAAAGAAGAAGTTACAGTTCTGTGAGAGCCAGAAGTCTTGCTTGTTTGTAGGTGACCAAATACTTATTTTCCACCATAATTTGCAAATAAATTCATAAAAACTCCTACAATGTGATTTTCTGGATTTTTTTCCCTCAATTTGTCTGTCATAGTTGACGTGTACCTATGATGAAAATTACAGGCCTCTCTCATCTTTTTAAGTGGGAGAACTTGCACAATTGGTGGCTGACTAAATACTTTTTTCCCCCACTGTATATATAGTGTAGATAGATCGATAAGCAGGTGCTTCCACACAGGTGTGGTTCTTGAGTTATCGACTTACCTAGAGTCAGATGAACTCGTGGAAACCATTTTTATGTCTCTGCGTTCAGTTTGAAGGTTGCTAACTAGCGTTAGCGTAATTGCTAACTAGCGTTAGCGCAATGACTGGTTGTCTATGGTAACTGCTAGCATGCTAGCTTGCCAAACTACCTCCTTCATACTGGATGCAGAGACATAAAAATAGTATTGATGAGTTCATCTGACTCTGGGGAAATGGGTAAAGGGCTTCATTGCCTAAATCCTGAAATATCCCTTTAATTAACTCATGAACCACACCTGTGTGGTATCCTTTTAAGCAATTAACATCCCATCATGCTTAGGGTCATGTATAAAAATGCTGGGCAGGCCATTATTTTGGCTACCATGGCTATGGCCCCATAGGACGACAATGCCCCCATCCACATGGCATGAGTGGTCACTGGATGGTTTGATGAGCATGAAAACGATGTAAACCATATACCATGGCCGTCTCAGTCACCAGATCTCAACCCAATTGAACACTTATGGGAGATTCTGGAGTGGCGACTGAGACAGCGTTTTCCACCACCATTAACAAAACACGAAATGCTGGAATTTCTCGTGGAAGAATGGTGTCGTATCCCTCCTATAGAGTTCCAGACACTTGTAGAATCTAAGCCAAGGAAAATTGACGCTGTTCTGGCTCGTGGTGGCCCAACAGCCTATTAAGACACTTTGTTGGTGTTTCCTTTATTTTGTCAGTTACCTGTATATACATTATTTTAATAGCATGACAATCTAAAGTCCATTATCCCTCTGAAGAGTTTGAATTTGGGATGGGCACGGTAGGGCTGGACAATATGGCCAATATCTAATTTTTGACCGTATTTTATATTTTTGAATAATACAAGTTCTAAATTTGCTTTATGAGTAGGGTGGCAACACATAAATACATTCTAAGTGATTTTAATGGGTCTTTCTCCATTCTTATTTTTTTGTTTTATGCTGTTCAATTCAACTTCAACCAAAAATAATTTACTGCATTTTCATCAATTTCAGCATTTCCTGCACTCATTTGAGATCACTTCCACACTGCCACGATTTGACTTGCGATTTAGATCAAAACACTTGGGTGAACTGTTGGAATCATGGAAATATAATGTTTATTCTAATTCTATAGTTAAAATATAAATAATAGTGGGCACTTTTAATACAGTGTTTGACATGACAACGAATGAAAATGCCAGGGAGGAGTTATTGTGACAGGGTAGGAACCAAAGTGTTGGTCAGTGTTTCCTAGGGGACCCTATAATCTTTGGCTACGTTTCTGCATAAATCAAATCAAGCTTTATTTATACAGCACATTTCAGACATGGAATACAACACCAATGTGCTTCACAGGAAAATACAAATAAAATACAAAAATCAGAGCTTAAATATTTACTACACAACAAACATAAAAATCAATAAATAAGAGTGACAAAAACGGAACTACTAAAAAAAGAAAAGCAAAGCTAAAAACATGCGTTTTAAGATCTCTTTTAAATATGTCCACAGTTTCAGCCCCCCTTAGGTTCTCTGGCAGGCTATTTCAGAGGCTGGGGGCATAGTAACTAAAGGATGCCTATCCATGCCTCTTGGTCCTAGGCTTTGGGATAGTTAAAAGGCCAGTGCCAGAGGACCTGAGGGACCTACTGGGTAAATAACTTAAAAGAATGTCTGACATGTATTGGGGTGCACAATCGTGGATTGATTTAAAAACCAATAGAATAACCTTAAAATTAATTATAAAACTCACAGGCAGCTAGTGCAGAGACCTTTAAAACGGGTGTATTGTGTGCTCTCCGTCTGGTCTTGGTCAGTACCCATGCTGCAGCGTTCTGTATGTTTTGCAGTTGACCAATGGCTTTCTTGGGTAGACCAGACAGGAGAGCATTATAGTAATAAAGCCTGCTTGTAATTAAAGCATGAGTCTCTCTGTATCAGCCTGAGAGAGAAACGGCCGCACCTTGGCAATGTTCCTCAGGTGGTAAAAAGCTATTTTGGTAACATTCCTAATGTGTGATTCGGAAATTTAGTTTAGAATCTAAAATTACACCAATGTTTTTTTTACCTGGTATTTTACCTTTTAATACTCCATATTCTTTCTGTGCTTTGGCTTCAACAATAAGTACCTCGGACTTGTCTTGATTTAGCTGGAGGAAGTTGTGAGCCATCCAAGTATTTAAATCACTAATACAGTCTAATAATTTATGCGTCGAGTTGTGTATCAGTGAAAATCAATGCTGTGCTTTCTGATAACGCTGCCAAGGGGTAACATAAACTGAACAGTACTGGACCCAAAATTGAACCTTGTGGAATGCCACATGTGATATGTATTTTCTATGAGTTATGTTCACCAAGGGTGACAAACTCTTGACTGGGTAAATAGGTCCTAAACCAATTTAAAACTGGACCGGAGAGGCCAACCCACCTCTCCAGTCTGTCCAGAAGGACATCATGGTCAACAGTGTCGAATGCAGCACTTAAATCCATGAGTACATTTACATTTAAGTAATTTAGCAGACGCTCTTATCCAGAGCGACTTATAAATTGGTGCATTGTACAAGGTCAGAGAGCTGTTTGGCATCTGTGTTGGCTCTAAGATCATTTACCACTTTAACTAAGGCTGTCTCTGTGCTGTGGTGGGCACGAAAATCAGATTGGAATTTTTGAAAAATACAGTTGCCAGTTAAATCATTTAGCTGTTTGAAAACAAATTTCTCCAGAATTTTGCTTAAGAATGGAAGGTTGGAGATTGGCTGAAAATTACTGAGCATGTCTGTGTCAACCAGGGAAAATAAATCCTCTTTGATTTAGAAGATACTGTTGCACAAACAACATGCTTATTTAGGCCTACACCATCACTGGTATAAGACTGTATAGCTATGTTTGCTCTGACTCAGTACATTTATTAACTAGCGATTAGCATTAGCAGCTAACACGATTTAGCTAAAACTTGCTAAGAAACACAAACTAATAGTGTCATTATAGAATGCTTGTGGATGTATATTAAGAAGCAAAGTGGGAATAACATTGTTGTCATCAACATTGTTGCATGTGCTGCATTGACCATGCAGACTGAACGCAAGTGTCTCGTGGTCAAGCAACAACAAATGCGCTCCTTGAGTGACGGGGCAGGGCTAGGTCTCTGTGGAAAGCAGCATGGAGAGAGCGGAGAGGGATGACTCAAGTAGCGGTGTAAACTATAAAAATGGACGTTACACACTGCATATCACTAAACATTCAAACACCGTTATAAAAGGTAAAGTAAAACCCAAACCATTCCGTGCATCAATGCCGGTATATAGTAAAATACGGTATACCACCCAGCCTAGGGCACGGTTATTAGAATATCCGAAGTGACGTTAGTATTCGATTACTTGCAAGAGTATTCTTTTTTTTTTTTATACAAAAAATGTAATTATCTATGTGACATTGCTACAGAAAAGGATAGACCATGACATTCGAATTTGTGATAAACTGTCATAAAACTATTGTTTTATGTGTAGCTTTTTATTGTCTGTCAATCAATCAAAGCAGCACTAACGTTACAGGCGGAGTCTCCATGTGTAGCAAGTGAAGTGGGAGATTTCTAATCAATGCAAAATGGAATTACAATTATGGAATAAATGGCTAAATGAGAAGAAGTAGGCTACAATGATCAACCAACAGGTAGTCTGTTGTTTAATATGAATGGAGTTGATGTAGACAAGGACGGGGAGTGAGGCAAATAGCCTCAATTAGCCTGGCTAGTTAGCTTCTTTACATCGATTTGATGCAGTCAAGACCGACTACCAGATGAGATGATAGATAACTTATCACAGCAACAAGTTTGTCTAGCCTGCGTGAGTCTGTTTGGCTACTTTCTCTCTCCATGTCGGACACACCGGCTTCTGCTTCTCTCCCGCCCCTCCCTTCTGTGCAGAAACAACAAGCAGAGTGCTCTTCTGAGTCAAGCGAACAAGTCCCCATTTGAAGTAAAAAATATTAATACAAATATTTGTTTTTAAAGGGGCAGTTGCTACATCCATTTTTGGAACAGAAAATGTAAACAAACACTATATAGCCTTAAAACATGTTTAAAAAATGTTGATATCCTGGATGGTCAGTCCTTGCATCCATAGCTATGTCTATGAATTTGAGTGGTTACATTTCTCTAGCCCCATCCCTCAGCTTTTTAACGAACGTGGGGCGGGGATCCTGCTTTGTTAATGTTTCTACTGCTGATTGCCGCTTTAAAACATGTATTTTGACTATCCGGATATCCCCCCCGAAAATTTTGATTTTATTCTAATAGGCTGTTTGAGAAAGTTTTAATCCTACGCAACCTGCATACTCATTGTTTGAAGTACAGTAGACCAACATAGCTACTGTAGTAGATCAAAGCTGTGTGCTGGAAAACATTGGTGAAGTAGGCCTTGTGGTGCTCGTGAATTTCCTTTCATTTTTCGGTTTAAAGGTGCATTATATAACATTTCCACATGCAAAGCCTGTCATTGGCAGTGCTATTGTAACCTGTAATGCGGACTCTGTCAAAAGGTCTGAACCTTAATGGCACAGGTGGTGTGCTTGCATAACTGCAAGAGTTACTGTTTTGCCCTCTAAAATCAGTTTTGAACTAACTAGATTGCGACATTCTTAGATTGTAAACCATGACTTCCCATTCAAAGCAAAGTTTTAACTCGAAGCAAAACTGTTTTATAACTGAATGACTTTTGAAGGTCTTAGCTCAGCCTCTGAATTTCATAGAGACTTTTACAGCCAGCGGCGCACCACTGGATCCGGCCCTGCACAACAAACATATATTGCAGTATATGCGCTCAAATACACTCTTACATGTTTGGCTTAATGATATCTTATACTAAGGCTAAGTGCTAAAACAGCTTTGGTGGGACATTTTATTAGTATTTGGCTTTCCTGAAATTCAACCTTCTGCGCTGTTGTTCAGAGAGGTGCATTGAAACGGTAGTATTCTTTCTGTCCTCAGGTTAGAGTGTATGACCCTGCTAAGTTTAGTTGCATGTTGCAAAGTGCACACTCATTGTTCAAACTGACTATACACCTTTGACACACACCTCTCACTCTTATTTCTGTTTGTCACACACTGATTCTGCTTTCTGTCTTGCACAGCTACCTTGGTCTAGGCTTGATGTCGGCAAGACTAGCTGTCTTGGGAGGAATCGAGGGACAGCCTTGTATGTGGTTTTTCAATTTGCTTTCATCGTTGCCTTTAAAGACCCTCCCCGTCCTGATAAATAAGCCATTATCTAATCTTTTAATAACATGGACCAAGATTAATTCCTTGCATGCCAGCTGTTGCTGTGATTTAGTTGATGCCTGGCTTTAAGAACTGCCATCAGTCGAATGCCCCGGATGCAGTTCTCCATGGGGATTTGCATTTTTTACATTTGAATTTTAATCAGATTTCTTTGTTGATACATTTGTTTGTTGTATAATCTATTTATTCTCAATGTTCCCTCAATGCATTTTTTGTGTGCCACCAGATGTTGGCCAATAGCCATAAAACCTACGTTGGAGCACAGCAATTTCAGATGCTGTTCCACCTTACAGCATATGACTTATATTGGACATTTGTGGCCAAACGCAACACCACATTAGTTAATTGTTGAATTTTTATAAGAGCTCTAAAAATAAAAATAAAAGTAGCCTTCTCCAGCCATAGCTTTCATATATCTATATAGATATCTATATCCCACCTGTGTACCAAAACATGAGCTACAGTTTGTTGGTCAGGTCCAAATTCTAAGTGCGTTCTCTGTTCTATTTTCAACAGTAGAGGGCAGCAGCACAGAGCTAGTAAGCCCCTGCTTGGCCCCGGACTACTCTGGCCAATGGGAACATGCAGAAGTTCTGTATACTGTGAAGGGCCAGAAGGCAGGTACAGTAAAAAGGGATTTATAACTAATTTAACAAGAATATTACTAATGCTAAGTACCAATTGTCAAATTCACATAGAAATGTGAGTTATAGATCTGTCATTCTCATTTAAAGCAAGTCTAAGAAGGGTTGATCTGTTCTATGTGCGATATTTCTATGCTTCCCGTTCTTACGTTTAGTTTTTGCGTCTTTGACTTTCTGTATTTTTCCACCAGCTGTAAATACAATATTTTTGGTTCATATTGAAAATATGTCAGGGCGGTTTAGTTGGTACAATGATTTTCTATACACTACACAATTGCTTGTTTTGTCACATAAACTGAAATTAGGCGAACTATTAGAATTTTAGCAACCAGGAAAAGGCGGATTGATTTCTGCATATCGCACCTTTTAATGAACAATTAATTGCCTTCTATAGACAGTGCCTGACCTGATAATTTTTTTTGTGTATAAACAGTTTTGTTTCTGTTTCAGGAGAGCCCATTTATGACTCCTGCCTTAGGAAAGTGGAGAAGATGCTGTATGGGAAGGTGAAGAAGGCAGAGGAAGCCAAAGATATGGAATTCTATGCCTTTTCATACTACTATGACAGAGCTGTGGATATGGGCGCTATTGGTAGGAACCCTACCTGCCTTTTGCCACCAGTTGGTGTAAATGAATATGCTGCTTAGTTTAATGATATCTTAATATAGTAATTCAATGTTGTTCTAATCTCCCCTTTCACTCAGATGAGAAAATGGGAGGGACTATAAAAGTCAGCGATTACATTGATGCTGCCAAGAGTGGTAAGACAGCGCCCTCATGCTGCAGTTGTGTACTGTATGTGGTTCGCTGCTACTGAACACAAACATGACTCATCCATTTTAATCAACACTTGACTCATTGCTTTCACACATTTAATCAACATTTTATTGGAATTTAGTGAATACTTGCAAGAAATCGCCATAAGCATTTATTTCTTCCAGTGTGCAACGGAATGATGGTTACTCCAGGAGAGAATCCGTTCCTTTGTCTGGATCTAACCTACATCTCTAAGCTGGTGCAAGAGCTTGGTTTTCCCAAAGAAAAAGTATTTAAGGTGAGAACCAAATGTAATTTATCAATCGAGTGTTTCACTGAGACTGTGCATTTCCATGGGTCTGCATCAGATGGCCAAAGAAGTGATTGTGTGCTTTCAGCTGGCGAGGAAGATTGATGAAGTGGAGACTAGCTGGGCTCTGGGGGCTACTTTCCACTACATGAAGTCCCTCCACAGTCAGTGAGCTGCCAGTCTCTCCTCACTTACTGCTGCCATGACATGCCAGTGATTCTGTGCTGTAAATTACGCTCTGGGAAAATGTCCTCAGTGATTGTACTTGTTTTTCCTCAATGCCAAGTTTTCGGAATTTGAGTTTACCAGTCGCCTTTTGGATGTTTGACTTTCTTTTAGCAGGTGTGATTGTTTTATACTTAAGGAATGTTTTGTGTAATAAAAGCACATTCTACTGGTGTAGTTTGAAGGAGCATGACCAGTTACATAGTTGGTATTTGAATATAACATTGTGCTAAAATGTCATTTTCTGTGTACAATTTTATACAATTCAGAATCAACTGGGGTACTGAAGGAATGTATTTTGAATAAAACATATTGAAACAATTTAGATTCAGCACCTTTATTAGCATATTCTGCTCTGACAAACCAAGCCATTGCCTACACCACTGACATTTCCACTATAAAACAGATTAACATTTGAATATCTTTAAACATGAAATTAGGGAGACGCATATCCCCAGTCTCATAGGAATGAATCACACCACTCTCTCAGGCACTGGGAGCAGGATGCGGCATTCCTGCTGTTGGCGCCGCTGGTGTCCTTCAGCCACTCAGTGAACAGCTCCCCATCCTTCCGCAGCAGCAGGTACTGACCCAGAACCGCAAAGGCCTAAGAAGGATATGCAGCAGTTATCCTAAATATTACTTTGTTGCAGTGGGCCTGCTCTAAGTGCAGGTCGTTACTGTCCATGGTGAAAATCAAAACAAGCCTGGTCTTGGGGACCCACTGTGGTGCACTTTTGTTCTTGCCCAGCACAAACACATGATTCAGCAAATCAGGGGTTTGATTAGTTGAATTAGGCATGTTGGTGCTGCAGGGTTAGAACAAAAATGTGCATGTAGGATTGCCCCCCTAAAAAAACTTTCACAATAGTGCCCATTTGCCCCAACGCCTTGACAACTTAAGGCGCAGGAGCTCCACAATACTTTTGATCTAATATTCTAAGAGGTGCAAAAAAAAAAAACTAAAAAAAAGTATAGAATCCATAGCATGTGAAGCGCTGTGTCATCAAAAAACTAATCAAAGAGAGCTGAGTCATCCACAGTTTGTTGGTAAAAAAAAAAAACGAATTTACTCACTTTGTCAAAACCTTGCTCCTCCAGTTTCTTTCCCAAGACTTCGCCAATTCCCGACAGTGCAGTCACCGGTTTATCGCCCATGGGTTCAGCAACGAAGTCCCTGTGCTTCTGAGAAGTGGTCGACATTTCTGCAAGAGACAGCTGTGCAATGATAGCCTCGTTGTTTAACTACTAGACTATCTATGCTAACTCACCCTAATAACATTAGCTCTAGGTGTGTGTGAGCCATAGGCTCTACCTACAGCTTGCAGTTAATATTTCAATAGATCTATGTCTAAACATGTTGAAATAACTTACACTATTGCATTTAACGTCCTTACCTGAGACAATGGTCACACTGGCCTTTACTAATTGTTACCACGTGCTATAAAAGTGCGCGAATTTGCGTAGTAAAACAGCACCTGTAGATAGTTAAATGAGTGTGATGATAGGTTACTGATTGGTATGTGGGGACTGATGGTCTGTTTACACAGTAGGTTAGGAGAGCTAGCAGCAGGTTAGGTGAAATAACGTAGCAGGTTAGGAGAATGAGGTTAAGGTTAGGAAATGGCATGAGTTTCAAGTTTGGGGAAGCTCATTTTGACCATAAAAATGCGCCTTTATAATAAAGCATTCCATGCATCATCACATTTGCAGACTTATGTAAGAAAACCTACTATTGGTAATGTTTTAAGTAGATTGGATAGTCATAATTTAGGCTAATAATATAACTCAATCACTATTCGCAAACAGACCGTTCAATGCATGGCTGAGTGCATCAACTAGATTCAGCCAAGCACCGATTTTTTTTCTTGAGCTGATGGTCAGGGGGCCGGAACATAATTACAAATAATTTGTGAACTGCAAATTGACAGCAAAAAGCCCAAACAGATATAATATTGAACTAAAACAGAATCATTTCAAACCTTGCCTACATTTGTATAAGATCACATACTGTATATCTCTCTATTATGAGTGGGAATACTTTGGAACAAATTTCCAAAATTAAAATCACTTGGAGCTGGTGTTTTTACAGTATTTTTACAGTCTAATGTCCAACTATTAAAATATATAAATACAAGTCATGACTTTCAATATAAACGAAGCAAAAAAAGTAACATCCCTTTTTCAGGACCCTGACTTTCAAAGATAATTCATATAAATCCAAATATCTTCATTGTAAAGGGTTTAAACACTGTTTCCCATGCTTGTTCAATGAACCATAAAGTATTTATGAACATGCACCTGTGGAACGGTGGTTAAGACACTAACAGCTTACAGACGGTAGGCAATTAAGGTCACAGTTATGAAAACTTAGGACACTAAAGAGGCCTTTCTACTGACTCTGAAAAACACCAAAAGAAAGATGCCCAGGGTCCCTGCTCATCTGCGGGAACGTGCCTTAGGCATGCTGCAAGGAGGCATGAGGACTGCAGATGTGGCCAGGGAAATAAATTGCAATGTCCGTACTGTGAGACGCCTAAGACAGCGCTACAGGGAGACAGGACAGACAGCTGATCATCCTCGAAGTGGCAGACCACGTGTAACAACACCTGCACAGTAACGGTACATCCGAACACACACAATCCCTCCATCAGTGCTCAGACTGTCTGCAATAGGCTGAGGCTGGACTGAGGGCTTCTAGGCCTGTTGTAAGGCAGGTCCTCACCAGACATCACCGGCAACAACGTCACCTATGGTCACAAACCCACTGTCACTGGACCAGACAGGACTGGCAAAAAGTGCTTTTCACTGACGAGTCGCGGTTTTGTCTCACCAGGGGTGATGGTCGGATTCGCGTTTATCGTCGAAGGAATGAGCGTTATACCGAGGCCTGTACTCTGAAGCGGGATCGATTTGGAGGTGGAGGATCTGTCATTGTCTGGGGCGGTGTGTCACAGCATCATCGGACTGAGCTTGTTGTCTCAACGCTGTGCGTTACAGGGAAGACATCCTCCTCCCTCATGTGGTACCCTTTCTGCAGGCTCATCCTGACATGACCCTCCAGCATGACAATGCCACCAGCCATACTGCTCGTTCTGTGCGTGATTTCCTGCAAGACAGGAATGTCAGTGTTCTGCCATGGCCAGCGAAGAGACTCCTGAGTGGCGCAGTGGTCTAAGGCACTGCATCGCAGTGCTAACTGTGCCACTAGATCCTGGTTCGAATCCAGGCTCTGTCGCAGCCGGCCGCGACCGGGAGACTCATGGGCGGCGCACAATTGGCCCAGCGTCGTCCAGGGTAGGGGAGGGAATGGCCGGCAGGGATGTAGCTCAGTTGATAGAGCATGGCGTTTGCAACGCCAGGGTTGTGGGTTCGATTCCCACGGGGGACCAGTATAAAAAAAAAAAATGTATTCACTAACTGTAAGTCGCTCTGGATAAGAGCGTCTGCTAAATGACTAAAATGTAATGTAAATGTAAGAGCCTGGATCTCAATCCCATTGAGCACGTCTGGCACCTGTTGGATCGGAGGGTGAGGGCTAGGGCCATTCCCCCCAGAAATGTCTGGGAACTTGCAGGTGCCTTGGTGGAAGAGTGGGGTAACATCTCACAGCAAGAACGGGCAAATCTGGTGCAGTCCATGAGGAGGAGATGCACTACAGTACTTAATGCAGCTGGTGGCCACACCAGATACTGACTGTTACTTTTGATTTTGACCCCCCCTTTGTTCAAGGATACATTATTCAATTTCTGTTAGTCACATGTCTGTGGAACTTGTTCAGTTTATGTCTCAGTTATTGAATCTTGTTATGTTCATACAAATATTTACACATGTTAAGTTTGCTGAAAATAAACGCAGTTGACAGTGAGAGGACGTTTCTTTTTTTACAGAGTTTATATATTTTTTTTTTTTGCTCTGAAAACTTGGGGTGCTAAATAAAATCACCCGCGAGCCAAATTCGGAACGCGGCCGCCAGTTGGAGAACCCTGGTGTATAGTGTAGAATAGGCCTAGGCTATCCCAGATATGTTTCTTCTTTGGGAAAATGTTTGCCTTTTATAAACATATTTCATGCAATTCTACTACACTTTATATGACTGGAGATATTAACAGAATATTTTTTAATACGACTAATTACTGGGTAGACTACTCTGCTGACACTGACAAACAGATCAATAAAAACGACATTGTCCATAGGCCTATGAGAAGGAGAGAAACAAATAGATTATGACATCCATCTAAATGGGAGGAGGAAATTATTGTCCAGTAATTTGTCGTATTCAAAAATATTCTGTTAATGTCTCCAGTCATATAAAGTGTAGTAGAATTGCATGTGCGGATGCTCTCCTGCTGGTGCCAATTGACTATTCTGTTGTTCGCTCAATTAAGTAAAAAAAAAAAGTACAACTAAAAGACAGATTAGAGTCGTTTCATTGTCTTCTCTTTACAGCAATATACATTTTCGATATGCCTGGCTGGCCCTCTACTTTTCACTGACAGTCGCAACTCAACAATCATCTATTTGGCATTTGCAGTGCGCGCTGCCTTTCTTTACAACTGTAGGAAATGCAATTTAAAACAATCCACCATTATTTTTTCAAAGAAGCTAATGATCCTCTGTGGCCAAATCATGCTTTAGTAGGCTAGCCTATTTAGAATTATTTGATGTATTTCTGTATAGACAGGAGTAGGCTAATTAGGCTATATTATTTTGGCAATTTAATTGAATTTCCTTTAGTGAAAACGTTTAGCTTCCCCTACCCTTATGGACGCGTTGCCAATGGGAAAAGGTTCGACCCAAGACAAGTCTAGAAACGCTGTGGTTAGGTGTAGCTGCAAAACTAATTGTCAACAACTATTGTCCCCGACGTGACCATTAGATGGCGCTGTAAAACTCGATCTAGCCACAACGAAACGTGAACAGACCATCGGTCCCGACTTTATAGCTAAATGGCCCCGACATACCATAAATCAGTACCATAACCATTGAGCTATAAAATGACGATCATAACAAGTGTAAGTAGCTAGATTATATCAAATATTATTTATAATTTTCCCCTTCTGTCTGTGATTATACTATTACAGAATATTACGACGTAGCCATCGACGCGACACTTGATCTAGAGCTGACGTCAAGATGTATTATTTTTTCGCACAGATTGACCAATAAGAGACAAGTGCGAATACACTCCCCTCCCATCAATACAAACTGATAGAATTAAGGGGTGTGTCTCGAGGATGTCTCTTGTCTTCCAGGAATCAACTGTATGCCACCAAGGTCTATCAGGCGTGGATCTTCTGAACTCAACTTCTAATCAATTCAAATCTTGCACAAGTTCGGATAGCGTTTATTTGAAGCTATGAGCAGTCCACTGAGTGACCATGAAAAGAGAAAACAGATCAGCGTGCGTGGCATTGCAGGGTTGGGCGATGTCATAGAAATCAAGAAAAGTTTCAACAGGCATCTTCACTTCACTCTAGTCAAAGATCGCAATGTAGCCACCCCTCGGGATTACTACTTCGCCCTGGCTCACACAGTCAGGGACCACCTCGTTGGGAGATGGATCCGCACTCAGCAATATTATTATGAGAAAGATCCAAAGGTAAAGGGGAAAGCATCTCCCTGAAATTATACAGGAAATGTATGGGATTAGGATTCCTTGTTACTTTGTTGCACATGCAATGTGTCCAATTTGAAATCGGTGATTATTTGTAGACTTGGCCTGCTCTCCATGCAAGTTTCTATTTGATTATTCTCAGATAGCCTGTATCTGTAGAAGAGGATACCCAGTTTACCGAAATGACAGATGTTTCCATAGACTGAATTAAAAAGAATTGTCATTTGTTCAAATTGTTTCCGCTTCCTAGTGGTGGCTGCAACCTGGTGTCAGAGCATTTCGTATTATTCTGTACGTAAATCCGAGACACTCCATTTAGTGTAGGTTACTTTTCGTATTGTATGTATTAATTTGTGGATGTCCATCTCCCATTTCGTATGATATGTTACGAATTACAATTCATATTATATGTTACAAATTTGTGAAAAATATATGCTACGAATTCTAGCATGGTGGCTAACATTAGCTAGCTGGTTAAGGTTACGTTTAGGAGTTAGGTTAAAGGGGAAGGTTAGCTAACATGCTAAGTAGTTGCAAAGTAGCTAAAAAGTAGTAAGTGATTGAAAAGTGACTAAAATGCTCAAGTTATCCATGATGAGATTCGAACTCGCAGCCATGCACCCCGACCAACCACCCTAATTTCGTTTTTGACTTAAGTAACCATCTGTTTTATGTAACCATATCAAACGTAACAAATCCTACTAATTTGAGTGTCCCGGATTTACATTTACTATGTTACGTCTAGTCTATGAGACCAGGCTGAGTGGTAATTTAACACCAGTGACTATCTACTTTCGGGCATTAGGCTACCAATAGCATAGATCTCAAGAACCCAAGTGGGGTATACCCAGTTCACAGCCGGTCCCCCTTGGGTTCTCAGCTGATGGTACTGATATCAGCCGGCTCCCTTGTGAAGTACAATCCCGATGCTCTGTCTAAACGCAAATACGCCTCACTTGCGATACGGTTTTGGGAACCTAACTTTCATAGCGATAAATAATATTTCAAATACAAAATATACACTTACTGTGCGAAGCAACACATTGCGCTGGCATTTCCATTGGACCATTCCATTCCACATGTCCTGTGTTTCTCAAAATACAGCCGGGTGCAACTTTCCTAAACAGCGTACAGTAAAAGTGTATATTTTGTATTTGAACAATTATTTATTGCTTATAAGAAAGTTAAATTCCAAATGTTTCAGAAACTGTATCACGTGCGAGGCATATTTGCGTTTAGACAGAGCATTGGAGCGTCGGTGAAATATAGCCTAGTTATCTTTACTCATTGTGTATTTATTCCTCATGTTATTGTTTTTCTATTATTTCACTTTTTTTCTCTCTGCATTGTTGGGAAGTAAGTAAGCATTTCACTGTTAGTCTACACCTGTTGTTTGCGAAGCATGTGACATCACATTTGATTTGATCCCCTCAGGCAGCAGACAGCTTTGTGAATAGACTGTATAATGTTTAATAACATGTACCGTCTATTTGAATGGGATACCAATAGCCTACGTACTCCAATATTCTGTACAGTATCCTGGATCATTAAAACAAGACTACAGAGGAAGTGTTTTTTTTAAATCAGTATCTAAATTTTGTCTGGCAATAGTGAAAGAGCCATGGGCCAGACAGCATTTGGTTTGTCTTCTTTTTTCAGTTTAGTTGTTTATGAATATTTTTATAAATGTAGCTAGAGGTTGTCCATGTTTTATTGTGGTCATACCCATTTTACACATGTCTGTGCATGAACATGCTGGAAACCTGCCAGATATTGTGTAACAGGCATCACAGAGTAATGGGCCAGAAAATTATTCTCTACATTCACTTTTCAACAGGCTAAACATGGTCTGCAGCAGTATTCCTTTTTACTTGGAAAGGGAATGATCTGAATTCAGAGTGCACTGCATTGATTGCTCAATCAGTAAAAGAGCAGCTGCAGTGGGGACAAAGCACTGGGCTCCAGCCAAACCTAAAGATCCCAGCAGCATAATGTAATGTCCGCTCTACCAAAGGATTCTACCAATGCACGTGACGTGAGACAATGACCAATTCCAGACCTTAAGGGCAGGGTGATGGCTTTGAATGAGTAACAGAAAATACCTGTTGGCTTTTCAATTTCTTAATGTTCAGAGCTAAATTCTTGCATACAGTATATCCTCATTCCATTCATTGTGTGGAACTAAACTAAACGGTCCTTAATCAGAGTTAATGACTTTTTTCTCTCCGTCTTCCTCCTGCTCTGGCAACATCAAGCTGACACATGCCTTGGCATAACTTTGCATTGGTTGTGATTCTGAACAGTGCCAATGACCTGATGGTATTTCTTCTTCTCTGGGGGGTGGTGAGGGTGGTGGTGAAGGACTGAGGGGGAATAGTCGGAGCGGTAAATATTGTGAGATGCATTAGGTTACAAGTGACAGAGTGCTGAGCAGAGGGTCTGCAGTACTGTGTGCTGGTGATTTATGATGTCATGTTAACCCAACTTTGCTCAAGTCTTTAGCACAGATTCTTCAGCTTCCAATGATCTCAAGTTGAGTAGCACCACTGAATGACAGGTCACAAATCAGTTTTGCTACAGTTTTGTTTCAGTGTCATTGTGCCTACAGTATATTTTTTTCCAAACAGTTTCTTTGGCTGTCTACATATCTCTGAAATTCTGAAACCCATCTATGTCATCTTCAGAGGATCCACTATCTATCATTGGAGTTTTACATGGGCCGGACCCTTCAGAACACCATGATCAACCTGGGCCTGCAGAATGCCTGCGATGAAGCCATCTACCAGGTAAAACAATACACCAGTGTCATTTTTTAAACCTGTACCTCCTGCCATACAATCAGGATGAAGATGTGGGCCTCAAACTCCCCACGTATCCAGCCCTAGTCCAGAATCAGACCTGACTTTGTCTGCTTGGTTTGTGTGGTGGGCTTATTAGTGTCTCTCCCAGGTACAATGCTTTCATCACCAGTGTCACAGTCCAGCTCCAGCACTGAAGCTCACTCTGTTCTGACTGGGAGGGGGGGCCATATTACCATTCATCCAATACATGTTTTATAAGGCCTCCCTTTGTGTTAGCTTTCAATGGGGATTTAAAGAGATTCTCCTGTATTTTTTAAATACTTTTTAGCCAGTAGTTCTCAAAGTAGTGCTCTAGAGCTGAAAAGTGTTCCCTGAAAATGGTGTACTACGTCACGTGCAGATATGTGCACCACATCAATGCGCGCTATTGCTCTGCTGTGTGTGCATTTTGCTAGCTGTCACTCAAATGTCGAGGGGCTGAAGCTCATTGGCTAGAACTCGAACTGCTAGAGGGCTGGCCTACGTGGGGGGACATTTGGGGGAAATGATGCAGCACAACTTCCAGAAAAACAGTTGCTTTTCAACTAGGGATTTCGTGGCTATTTAAATTTGAAGTAAGACAGTAATTCTGCTCATATATTATGCATGTATGAACTACACATTGACACATCCAGCCCAAAGTGGGAGGTTTCAAAAATACTTAGTAGTCGCCAAAGTTCCGGAGCATGTCTTTAATGCTAGTAGCTGTAACCTTATTTCTCATGATGAAGGTGCCCTTGCTAGTGATGTTTTGGAGACTATCAGTACAGGCAGACTGTTTACAGGAGGCTACCTGCCCCAGTATCTGAACGTTAGAGATGTCAACGATGAGTATGACCTGTCTCTTCTCTAAAGCCTTGGAAGCTCCGATTCAAACTCCCATTACACAGCTCTGCAAGCGTTATAATGTCAGAAATGTGTTAGTTATTCACCAAATATGGATTTTTGCTGAGCAACTATCTTCATTTACCCCTGTTATGGCCAGTATGTACTTCCAAAATAGGTCTAAATAAAAATGTACAAGCAACTAAATGACTAAAATGTAAATGTACAAGCAACCAAAAAAATGCCCATTCGGCACTTCCAATGTAAATCACTCATTACTGCCACACACAGCTCGGAAGTCTACAACAGCTCAATACATTGGAAGTGCCGAAGAGGATTTTTTTCTTTTGCTTGTACATTTTTATTTAGACCTTTTTTGGAAGTACATACCGGCCGTAACGGGAGTAAATTAATATAGTTGCTCAGCAAAACTCCATATTTGGTGAGTAACTAACATTTTGACATTATAACGCTCGCAGAGCTGTCTAATGGGAGTTTGAATCGGAGCCTCTTGGGCGATAGAGAGGAGAGCCGTCATACTCATTGTTGACAGCTCTAACTCACAGATACTGAGGCAGAGGCTACCATGCACCATGCTACCATGCATTCTCACGTCACCCCGCTCCTCCGCACACTCCACTGGCTTCCAGTTGAAGCTCGCATCTGCTACAAGACCATGGTGCTTGCCTACGGAGCTGTGAGGGGAACGGCACCTCCGTACCTTCAGTCTCTGATCAGTCCCTACACCCAAATGAGGGCATTGCGTTCATCCACCTCTGGCCTGCTGGTCCCCCTACCTCTGTGGAAGCACAGTTCCCGCTCAGCCCAGTCAAAACTGTTCGCTGCTCTGGCACCCCAATGGTGGAACAAGCTCCCTCACGACGCCAGGACATCGGAGTCACTCACCACCTTCCGGAGACACTTGAAACCCCACCTCTTTAAGGAATACCTGGGATAGGATAAAGTAAACCTTCTAACCCCCCTTACCCCCCCCAAAAAAAAAAAAAAAAACATATTGTGAAGTGTTTGTCCCACTGGCTATAAGGTGAATGCACCAATTTGTAAGTCGCTCTGGATAAGAGCGTCTGCTAAATGACATAAATGTAAATGTAAAATGTAAATATAGTTTCTCAGTCTAATATCTTATCCTTTCCACTAATGATCTTCAGCAGCCTCTTATCTCTAGACCTAGCCTATATGGTCTCCTCAAAAGCAACATGGGATTTAGACCGAAGGTACAGTATCTGTAGCTTTTAACAATCTTCTTGTTCAGAATTGGACAGTGCACCCTTTTCTTTGCACTAAGTTAAGATAGAATCACAGTATGAAAGAGAAGGCATCATCACAGCCTGCATGAGTGCGGTCTGTTGGCCACGTTGCGTAGACGAGTAGGCCTAGATTGAGAGAGTCAACAGCAGTCCGTTCTCACTCAGCAGAGAAAACGTAGAGAAATGCAGACCTATATTTGTTTTATTTCCTCATTGTTCTTCACCAGAACACAATCTACCAGGAACATCATGTTACAAGTGTATGATTAAAAAGATAAAACACACGCTCCCTCTCACACACTGCTGTGTCTGTATTGCTTAAATTCAAACCTTAAAATAGTAGGCTTATATTAGGACTCCTTGTGCTTTTAGTTTCTACAATACAGACAAGGGTTACTCAAGTTCATGTCAAACTCTATTTGCACCTGATGCTGATGTATGCTTGGGGCTGTATAGGAGATGTTTCTAATGAGTTCTCTCTGTTGACCAGCTGGGCTTGGACATAGAGGAGCTGGAGGAGATAGAGGAGGATGCTGGGTTGGGGAACGGGGGACTGGGCCGCCTTGCAGGTAAGGCATCAAACACTCTTTGTCACAAATGCCTTGTGACACTCAGACATTCTAACATGATCTGTGTAAACTCAAACATCCACCCAATGCAGACAAATGTAATTAGAGCATACCATAAGAAATGGACCTTCACACATTCCTCCATTTCAGCTTGTTTCCTGGACTCCATGGCCTCTCTAGGCCTGGCAGCCTATGGCTATGGCATCCGCTATGAGTTTGGCATCTTTAACCAGAAGATCTCCAATGGCTGGCAGGTAATGGAGCATGGCATTCTTGGTCACATTTAGAGGTTATTGTAATAATGCGTCCATACAGATTTTTCCCTTCTCAGGTGGAGGAGGCTGATGATTGGCTGCGGTATGGGAACCCGTGGGAGAAGGCTCGTCCAGAGTACATGCTCCCTGTGCATTTCTATGGCCGAGTGGAACACACAGCAGAAGGAGTAAAGTGGGTGGACACCCAGGTGAGTCTGTTCACCAGACACGTACACATGCACGCACAAGCAAGAACACATACACCATGTGTTTACAGACAAGCATTTGAATCGATCAGCATTTCTCTTCTTCTAATTCTCTGCTTCCCATCTCCTTTCTCCTAATACTTAATTTTTTGTTCCCTAGGTTGTCCTGGCCATGCCTTATGACACTCCTGTGCCTGGATTCAAGAACAACACAGTTAACACCATGAGACTGTGGTCTGCTAAGGCACCCATTGACTTCAATCTGCAGGAATGTACGTGTCCATGCCCATTTTTATCATACACTACTCAGAAACTATAATCCAACTGTAGCTGATACACTCCGGTGCCTAAAAGACACCCTGCTAGGCCTGTGTTAAGAACACACTAGTCACAATTGATAATGGCAGTTATATTGCTGTCTATGGGAGCTAATTCATCTCTAGAGAACTGTGGTATGTAGACCTTGACCTCTCCTACGCCCCTCAAGCTCCCACAAACCCTCAGCCCAGCCTTGAACAGTGAGTACAGTTTTGCACAGATAGACATTTTTTGAGTTTCTAAGGATCTATTTACGGAAAATACATCCAGATTTTTCTTTGTATAATATTTGTTATTACTTACAAAGCCATCTGGCCTGCAAGAGTTAGCTGTTTGGGCCTTATTCTTCAACCAGTTGTAGTTCTTCTCTTGTTCTGGCCGCTTGTTTTCTCCTCCTATATGGCAAGTGGACAGAGAGCCAGGGAAATGACGCTAAAATGAGCTGAGGTCAAGTCCAGTCAGGCCAAAATTAATGGGTATTTATGCAAAGAGTGGCAATGGGGGAGTTGGTTACCTTAGAAAAAGTAGCTGTTTGGAATACAAAGTGTTGTCCCCTGTACCAACACAATGCCATTGCCCCATTGGTGGGGAGGGGAGAGGGCAGCCTGCCAACGTTACCCATGGATACAACCCTCTTAGGACATGGAGCTTAGGACGCTTTCTATGCTGACGATTTCCAGGAACTCTCTCTACTGTTGTGCAGAAAATACTTAATGAAGTTGGCCACGCTCAGACTAAATAAATTCAACACTGGATCCCATTTCAAATGCTGTGACATTACATAATACTAAGACGGGGTGCCATTCTCCTACTGAGGTGTGTGGTCTTCCAAGCTGTATTTAGATGAGCCTGAGAGGCAGGTTTGGTTGATTTAATGTTTACCATGCAAGCATGTGAAGCCATGAGAAACAACAGGGTCACTGGGTTCATGTAATCGATGAGTGGTTACAGCAAGGGACAAACGTAAGTCGCCTCTCTAGTGACCACTTAGATGTCAGTCTGAATTAAGCATCAGATTAAACTTTTTTTTCAACCACTACTCAATTGCTTTAGGGTCAGTTAAAAAAACCATGTTTCAAAGTGTGGTTTACATTCTGGATGCTGTTTATAATGTGTACCTATACTGCTCAGCTACAGCAATACCCACAACAATCAAGCTGCCTAAAGCCAGTGAAGAAGAGATCATCCTCGTCCTCGACAGATTGCTGATGTATAATCAAAATACTGTATAATCGAAATGTTCCCCTCTCTCTCGTGCAGTCAATGTTGGTGACTACATTGAAGCTGTGTTGGACCGCAACCTGGCTGAGAACATCTCACGAGTCCTCTATCCCAACGACAATGTGAGTATCTACAGTGCATTCGGAAAGTGTTCAGACCACTTGACCTTTTCCACATTTTGTTATGTTACAGCCGTATGCTAAAATTGATTAAATTGTTATTTTCTTTGAATCAATCTACACAATACCCCATAATGACTACGCAAAATCAGGTTTCTATAAATGTTTGCCAAAACAATACTGAAAAATCAAATTTGCATAAGTATTCAGACCCTTTACTCAGTACCTTTTGGCAGTGACTACAGCCTCGATTCGTCTTGGGCATGATGCTACAAGCTTGACACACCTGTATTTGGGGAGTTTCTCAATTTTTCTCTGCAGACCCTCTCAAGCTCTGTCAGGTTGGATGGGGAGCGTCGCTGCACAGCTATTTTCAGGTCTCTCCAGAGATGTTCGATCGGTTTCAAGTCTGGGCTCTGGCTGGGCCACTCAACGACATTCAGAGACTTTGTTTCTTGGTTTCATCAGACCAGAGAATCTTGTTTCTCATGGTCTGAGAGTCCTTTAGGTGCCTTTTGGCTAACTCCAAGTGGGCTGTCATGTGCCTTTTACTGAGGAGTGGCTTCCATCTGGCCACTCTACCATAAAGGCCTGATTGGTGGAGTGATGCAGAGATGGTTGTCCTTCTGGAAGGTTCTCCCATCTCCAGAGGAGGTACTCTGGAGCTCTGTCAGAGTGACCATCGGGTTCTTGGTCACCTCCCTGACCAAGGCTCTTCTCCTCCGATTGCTCAGTTTGGCCAGGTGGCCAGCTCTAGGAAGAGTCTTGGTGGTTCCAAACTTCTTCCATTTAAGAATGATGGAGGCCACTGTGTTCTTGGGAACCTTCAATGCTGCAGAAATATTTCGGTACCCTTCCCCAGATCTTTGCCTCGACACAATCCTGTCTCGGAGCTCTATGGACAATCCCTTCTACCTCATGGCTTGGTTTTTGCTCTGACATGCACTGTCAGCTGTGGGACATTATATAGACAGGTGTGTGCCTTTCCAACATTATATAGACAGGTGTGTGCCTTTCCAAATCATGTCCAATCAATTGAATTTACGACAGGTGGACTCCAATCAAGTTGTAGAAACATCTCAAGGATGATCAATGGAAACAGGATGCACCTGAGCTCAATTTCGAGTCTCATAGCAAAGGGTCTGAATACTTATGTAAATAAGGTATTTATGTTTTTTATTTTAAATACAGTTGCAAAAATTTAGAAAAACCTGTTTTCGCTTTGTCGTTATGGGTTATTGTGTTTAGATTGATGAGGAAAACATTTTATTTAATACATTTTAGAATAAGGCTGTAATGTAACAAAATGTGGAAAAAGTAAAGGGGTCTGAATACTTTCCGAATGCGCTGTATGTAACCCTTATGGAGTAGAGAGACCATTCTGCAAGTGCTCAAAGTGGAAATGACCAGCAATAGTGTGTGTGAGAAAGATATTCACTAGGCCACATGGGGGCGTTCTCTCCAGTCATGACCTAATAAGGTCATCAGGGATGTGTTGCTCTGGTGGTGTGCCTTAACCTTAGTACAGCATTCAGCACAATCTCCTCAGTGCTGCAGACTCCAATGTGTAACATGAAGCACGTCAGCTGTTCAAGTTAGGATGAGGAAACCGCAAGGTTGCTCAACATGTACTGAGAATGGTATTACTCAAGATGCATGTAGATGTGTGTAGTATAGTTAGTATTGATGGAGCAGAGGTCTATGCCTGCCCCAGTTTGTTCCTGAATAAATAAAAGCAGCATTTGGTAAAAGTTGGATCCACCTGCGCCATTCATACATACTCCTGCTGAATCTGACATGGGAGTGTGATACATTGCATTTGGAAAGTATTCAGACCCTTTCACTTTTTCCACATTTTGTTACATTACAGCCTTATTCAAAAATTGATGAAATTTATTTTTTTACTCATCAATCTACACACAATACCCCATAATGACAAAGCGAAAAAAGGTTGTTAGAAATGTTTGCACATTTATAAAAAATACAAAACAGAAATACCTTATTTAAGTATTCAGACTTTTTGATATGAGACTTGAAATTGAGCTCTGGTGTATCCTGTTTCCATTGATCATCCTTGACATATTTCTACAACTTGATTGTAGTCCACCTGTGGTAAATGAAATAGATTGGACATGAGTTGGAAAGGCACACATCTGTCTGTATAAGGTCCCACAGTTGACAGTGCATGTCAGAGCAAAAACCAAGCCATGAGGTAGAAGGAATTGTTCGTAGAGCTCCGAGACAGGATCGTGTCGAGGCACAGATCTGGGGAAGGGTACCAAAACATTTCTGCAGCATTGACGGTCCCCAAGAACCCAGTGTCTTCCATCATTCTTAAATGGAAGACGTTTGGAACCACCAAGACTCTTCCTAGAGCTGGCCGCCCGGCCACACTGAGCAATCGGGGGAGAAGGGCCTTGGTCAGGGTGGTGACCAAGAACCCGATGGTCACTCTGACAGAGCTCCAGAGTACCCCCTCTGGAGATGGGAGAACCTTGTAGAAGGACAAACATCTCTGCAGCACTCCACCAATCAGGCCTTTATGGTAGAGTGGCCAGACGGAAGCCACTCCTCAGTAAAAGGCACATGACAGCCCACTTGGAGTTAGCCAAAAGGCACCTAAAGGACTCTCAGACCATGAGAAACAAGATTCTCTGGTCTGATGAAACCAAGATTGAACTCTTTGGCCTGAATGCCAAGCGTCACGTCTGGAGGAAACCAGCCACCGCTCATCACCGGGCCAATACCATCCCTACGGTGAAGCATGGTGGTGGCAGCATCATCCTGTGGGGATGTTTTTCAGCGGCAGGGACAGGGGAGACTAGTCAGGATCGAGGGAAAGATGAACGGAGCAAAGTACAGAGAGATCCATGATGAAAACCTGCTCCAGAGTGCTCATTACATCGGACTGGGGCGAAGGTTCACCTTCCAACAGGACAACGACCCTAAGCACACAGCCAAGACAACGCAGGATTGACAAGTCTCTGAATCTCCTTGAGTGGCCCAGCCAGAGCCCAGACTTGAACCCGATCGAACATAGAGCTTAAGAGGATCTGCAGAGAAGAATGGGAGAAACTCTCCAAATTCAGGTGTCCCAAGAAGACTCAAGGCTGTAATCGCTGCCAAAGGTGCTTCAACAAAGTACTTAGTAAAGGGTCTTATGTAAATGTGATATTTCAGTTCTTTCTTTTTAATACATTTGCAAAAATGTCTAAAAACCTGTTTTTGGTTTGTCATTATGGGGTATTGTGTGTAGATTTATGAGGGGAAAAAAACAATTTAATCAATTTTAGAATAAGGCTGTAACGTAACAAAATTTGGAAAACGTGAAGGAGTCTGAATACTTTCCGAATGCATTGTATGTACGATTTATTTATAAGCATTTCACTGCACCTGCGATAACATCTGCAAATCTGTGTACGGATTCAATACATTTTGATAAATTGTCCGACGCTAAACTGATGCTAGGTATTCACTACATGGGGCCAACTTGCCCTTGAGTGATTGCTTTGAGAATAGACTCAGTGTTATAATTCTAAAGTGTATGTGTGTGTTCAGTTCTTCGAGGGCAAGGAGCTACGTCTGAAGCAGGAGTATTTTGTGGTGGCTGCCACACTGCAGGACATCATCCGCCGCTTCAAGTCCTCCAAGTTTGGCTGCAGAGACCCCGTCAGGACCTCCTTCGAGACCTTCCCAGAGAAGGTACTGTATTTCACTATATCCAATGTGAGCAGTCAATTGGTTTCTTTCAAAAACCCAACCTTATTGCTGTTCCTCAAATCCCATACACAAAAACCTTTAATATTATGCATTTTACAATTTAGTACAACCACTAAACCATGGCCATGACTGACACACTCTCTCCTCTCTCCATCCACTGGTAGGTGGCCATCCAGCTGAATGACACCCACCCTGCCTTGGCCATCCCTGAGCTGATGAGGATCCTAGTGGATGTGGAGAAGTTGGACTGGGACAAGGTATAGTATTCTCCCAGGCTAGGGTTGAATGGCGGGAACCCAGTTACCGAGATTTACCGCCCAAAACCACTCTCTTTACCCGGGATAAATAACTGCGAGAAACCAGTAAATTATAATAAATTATTTATATCAACAGCATGACGTAAAATGGAACTGTTAAACTATATGTCTTAATCTTGCCTCTGCGGTCTTCTCTCTGCATGATCAATCATCAACGCTCATGTTGACAGCCCATCTCAGTATGGATTGCAGTTCAAAATGCATGTAGACCTATCATCTCATCATGTTTGTCTTGTGACAGGTAGGTCTACATTTGCTGCAGCATAGCCTATGCTACAGTAATATAAGGACCGAATGCACGTCTAATTTACACATCTCCATCTGGCTTTCGGGTCATTTTTAAAATTTATTTTAAAGATATATATTGTTTTTAATTGCAGCTGCAGAGTTTTAAAACAGCCTATGACTCGAATATTGTTGCATTAAATTAGAGCATGCGTGAGCAGTCTTTATCTCTCTCCATCAATTCCATTCAAATTGCATCCAAAATAGATAATCCTGTTCAAGATTGAGATGTGTGTGTGTATATATATATATATATATATATATATATGTCCTAGCCTACCTCTTTCAGGTAATACATTCAATGCAGTATTAGCCTTATATTTAGCTAATGAATGATGGGTTATGCATAATAAACTTCTAACTTACAGCCTCTTTCTCTTTCACAATACGCACGCACCTGTGCACCGCTGGCCTCTCTCCTTAACAAACGCTCCTTAGCTCTTGGAGTCCCATGCAGGAAAAGCTAAACTAGAATAGCTTGCTGGATATTTTTTTGTTGCATTTCTTATACCGATAGACTATTCATAGAGAATGTGGGATGGCGGTAGGCTATAGCAGTCATTTTTTCAGACCCATAACCATTCGATCTTATTGAAGAGAAGTAAAAGCCTTCTGCATCTAATTCTAGACTTATAGTACTCAAGGATGTCATTCGAATGATGAAGATAAGGACAACGAAACTTATTTCATTTAACTGTTGAAAGCAAAGAAGGAATGAAGCAACAATAGAGAGAGAAAGAGGAGGTAGGCTAATAACATTAGGGGAAATATTATGGAAGGTATATATGTGTCAGCCTACTAATTATACAAATAGGCCCTATTATGTTTCAAAATTAAAATCCGATTCACTAGCCTATACTTGTAACTTTGTAGGCTACCGCCATCCCGCATGTGCTGCACCAGAATCGCATGTTCTCGCAGCTTTATCATGGTTTGAACGATGTGTGTAATTCCAGTCATATAATACTATATAATACAATACAGTACAGTAATAGAGGAGCTTGTTTTATTTATTTACAGTAGCGGTGCGTGGGTAAAATCACTGGGGAAGCCAGAAAGAAAAAGCCATATTACAACCTATATGTTGTGATAATTGCGTTGTTTGCTCTATAACCTGTTAGTTCATATGCCTTGCGACCGTGATATATAGGCCTAAAGGCCGAGACAATAAGAAGACACAGTGGCAGAATAAATTCAACCACACCTTTGTTTCATCACAAAACCGGAGAGCAGTGTGATACAGTGACAACTAAAAGATACCAAAAACGATTTAGTCCAATCAACGTAAGCTAAATATAATGTGGCTATCCATGGTTCTGATCTCTGTGTGAGTATGTGTGTGCACGTTCGTGCAAGTAGAAAAAATATGTTGACTCGCCCTACTTGTAGAGAAACGCCAATGCCACCCTCCTCTCTTTTATGTTGACGAAACGGTCTATCACACTGTCATACAGTACATGCTTTTATTTTCTGTTGTCCTAGGCTACCTGGCTAAAATGCTTGCTTGCTAGCCTAACTTCCTGTCATGGGCAACACTAGCTAGTTAACGTTAGCCTTCTACATATAGAACTTCCATCCTCTCAGGCCAGAGGCACAATATATGAATTAATGGTTGGATCAGAATCGCAGTTAAAATCATTGGCCAGTACAGAGAATTAAGTAAAACCACAAGTCCAAATCCCTATCTTCATCCATAGCTAATTTAGGAAAGGGACAATTTTAGCTAGCTAGCTAGCCACTGGAGGACAACAACACAACGAGATGCAACAATTCAAGTTGTTTCTGTCAATGACGTATGCTCTCAATGCGATTTGATAGGAGTGACGCCAAATCCAAACTGGCTTCCCTAAATACAATTTTTTGGTGCGCCAGGACCATTCACAGTTGAGCTCATTCAGTTTAGCTCAAGGCTGATTGGATATTATTGTATAGTTTTTTTAAATCAAGGAAGGCCAAATGCTTGCTGGCTTTCCTTGCATTTGCATTCAATGCTATGGGCAGCAACAATGTCATAGTCGTTTGGACCAGACCGCATCAGATAGATGCCTACACATACAGAGACAGAGGTGCTGTTTAGTTCGCTTGGATTCGCTGAGATGCATTCAGCCTCTTGCGAATCAAAGGAAAATTATGAAACACAGAGAGATGAAAGATAAAATAATTTATTTGTTATTTCTTGGTAAAATTTTTTGGGGAGCCTGGCTTCCCTTGGCACCCATGAATACACACCACTGTTTATTTACCCAAGAGAGCATATAGCTAGCTACATCTATGGGCTTTTATGTTTTTCTGTTGTGCGTAATGCGCAGTAGCCTATATATCATATATGTATTGGATAACGGCACAATCATTTGGGCTTTTTTGGGGCTTGGGATTTTTAAATGTATTTTTAATGTAGGGCTCATAAAATGTATTTAATGTAGGGGTCATCAGGCTCAGGTAGCATCAGCCTTGAATTTTTGATCAAAGCTCTAATCAAATGCAGACATAGGCCTATTTATATGCTTTTGAATGACATTTCCAGTTTTGGCGGGAAATACCAGGTTACCCGGGAGAAAAGTGATTTTATTCTCGGGATGGAACATTTGGAAAATACTGGGAAAATGTTCAACCCTATCCCAGGCCTGGCACTCACTATGACAGTCAGACACACTGTAACTAGTGAGTGCTGTGTAGATGGTAGGACTGTGTAGATGGTAGGACTGTGTAGATGGTAGGACTGTGTAGATGGTAGGACTGTGTAGATGGTAGGACTGTGTAGATGGTAGGACTGTGTAGATGGTAGGACTGTGTAGGTGTGGGACTGTGTCCCAGTATGAACTCTGGTTGATCTGGAAACCAGAGCTGTTATGGGGCAGCATTGTTTGAGGAGGGTTGCTTTGCCAAGTCATCGTGAAGTGGTAACTGATATCCAATATGGATGGTGTTAAGAGATAGATGGGAGGTGTTGAATGGAGCTGAAGGATGGGACTAAAAACAACTAATAACAACAACTAATAACAACAAGATAACTAATGTAAAGCATACTGTGTCCATAATAAGTATATAGGTTATAGGTTGAGAGCTTTTTTGAAAGAGCACAGTTAGAAAGATATGGCATATAGAAGCAAACCGGATGGACATCATGAAAATGATCGGAGAGGTTGAGGGTAGAGGAAGTTCAGGAGTAAAAACAAACAAAATAGAATTATTGTAAAATTGACTGTGTCCATAAAATGTATATAGTATGTATAAGCTGGAAGTAGAGGCCTAAGCGTTGTTGTTCACTAGTTTACTCCAATTAGGGAAGGGGTGGTGGGGTTGGAAAGTAATAAAGGGAAATATATTTTTTAAAAGGATATGTGTGTATATATATATATATATATATATATATATATATATATATATATATATATATATATATATATATATATATATATATATATATGTATGCATATGTATTTATATATAGGTGTGTGTGTGTATGTACAGTTGAAGCCGGAAGTTTACATACACTTAGGTAATTAAAACTCGTTTTTCAACCACTCCACAAATTTCTTGTTAACAAACTATAGTTTTGGCAAGTCGGTTAGGACATCTACTTTGTGCATGACACAAGTCATTTTTCCAACAATTGTTTACAGACAGATTATTTCACTTATAATTCACTGTATCACAATTCCAGTGGGTCAGAAGTTTACATACACTAAGTTGACTGTGCCTTTAAACAGCTTGGACAATTCCTGAAAATGATGTCATGGCTTTAGAAGCTTCTGATATGCTAATTGACATCATTTGAGTCAATTTGAGGTGTACCTGTGGATGTATTTCAAGGCCTACCTTCAAACTCAGTGCCTCTTTGCTTGACATCATGGGAAAATCTAAAGAAATCAGCCAAGACCTCAGAAAAACAATTGTAGACCTCCACAAGTCTGGTTCATCCTTGGGAGCAATTTCCAAACGCCTGAAGGTACCACGTTCATCTGTACAAACAATAGTACGCAAGTATAAACACCATGGGACCACGCAGCCGTCATACCGCTCAGGAAGGAGACGCGTTCTGTCTCCTAGAGATTAACATACTTTGGTGCAAAAAGTGCAAATCAATCCCAGAACAACAGCAAAGGACCTTATGAAGATGCTGGAGGAAACAGGTACAAAACTATCTATATCCAAAGTAAAACGAGTCCTAATCTCAGCAAAAAAAGAAACGTCCCTTTTTCATGACCCTGTCTTTCAAAGATAATTCGTAAAAATCAAAATAACTTCACAGATCTTCATTGTAAAGGGTTTAAACACTGTTTCCCATGCTTGTTCAATGAACCATAAACAATTAATTAACATGCACCTGTGGAACGGTCATTAAGACACTAACAGCTTACAGATGGTAGGCAAGTAAGGTCACAGTTATGAAAACTTAGGACACTAAAGAGGCCTTTCTACTGACTCTGAAAAACACCAAAAGAAAGATGCCCAGGGTCCCTGCTCATCTGCGTGAACGTGCCTTAGGCATGCTGCAAGGAGGCATGAGGACTGCAGATGTGGCCAGGGCAATAAATTGCAATGTCTGTACTGTGAGACAGCGCTACAGGGAGACAGGACGGACAGCTGATCATCTTCGCAGTGGCAGACCACGTGTAACCACCTGCACAGGATTGGTACATCTGAACATCACACCTGCGGGACAGGTACAGGATGGCAACAACAACTGCCCGAGTTACACCAGGAACGCACAATCCCTCCATCAGTGCTCAGACTGTCCGCAATAGGCTGAACTGAGGGCTTGTAGGCCTGTTGTAAGGCAGGTCCTCACCAGACATCACCGGCAACAAGGTCGCCTATGGGCACAAACCCACCGTCGCTGGACCAGACAGGACTGGCAAAAAGTGCTCTTCACTGACGAGTCGCGGTTTTGTCTCACCAGGGGTGATGGTCGGATTTGCGTTTATCGTCGAAGGAATGAGCGTTACACCGAGGCCTGTACTCTGGAGCGGGATCGATTTGGAAGTGGAGGGTCCATCATGGTCTGGGGCGGTGTGTCACAGCATCATCGGACTGAGCTGGTTGTCATTGCAAGCAATCTCAACGCTGTGCATTACAGGGAAGACATCCTCCTCCCTCATGTGGTACCCTTTCTGCAGGCTCATTACATTTACATTTTAGTCATTTAGCAGACGCTCTTATCCAGAGCGACTTACATTATTATTTTTTTATACCCCCCGTGGGAATCGAACCCACAACCCTGGCGTTGCAAACGCCATGCTCTACCAACTGAGCTACATCCCTGCCGGCCTTTCCCTCCCCTACCCTGGACAACGCTGGGCCAATTGTGCGCCACCCCATGGGTCTCCCGGTCGCGGCCGGCTATGACAGAGCCTGGATTCGAACCAGGATCTCTAGTGACACAGCTAGCACTGCGATGCAGTGTCTTAGACCACTGCGCCACTCGGGAGACTTATCCTGACATGACCCTCCAGCATGACAATGCCACCAGCCATACTGCTTGTTCTGTGCGTGATTTCCTGCAAGACAGGAATGTCAGTGTTCTGCCATGGCCAGCGAAGAGCCCGGATCTCAACCCATTGAGCACATCTGGGACCTGTTGGATTGGAGGGTGAGGGCTAGGGCCATTCCCCCCAGAAATGTCTGGGAACTTGCAGGTGCCTTGGTGGAAAAGTGGGGTAACATCTCACAGCAAGAACTGGCAAATCTGGTGCAGTCCATGAGGAGGAGATGCACTGCAGTACTTAATGCAGCTGGTGTCCACACCAGATACTTTTGATTTTGACCCCCCCCCCCCCTTTGTTCAGGGACACATTATTCAATTTCTGTTAGTCACATGTCTGTGGAACTTGTTCAGTTTATGTCTCAGTTGTTGAATCTTGTTATGTTCGTACAAATATTTACACATGTTAAGTTTGCTGAAAATAAACGCAGTTGACAGTGAGAGGACGTTTCCTTTTTTTTGCTGAGTTTATATCGACATAACCTGAAAGGCCGCTCAGCAAGGAAGAAGCCACTGCTCCAAAACCGCCATAAAAAAGCCAGACTACGGTTTGCAACTGCACATGGGGACAAAGATCGTTCTTTTAGGAGAAATATCCTCTGGTCTGATGAAACAAAAATATAACCGTTTGGTCATAATGACCATCGTTATGTTTGGAGGAAAAGGGGGTGACTTGCAAGCCAAAGAACACCATCCCAACCGTGAAGCACGAGGGTGGCAGCATCATGCTGTGGGGTGCTTTGCTGCAGGAGGGACTGGTGCACTTCACAAAATAGATGGCATCATGAGGAAGGAAAATGATGTGGATATATTGAAGCAACATCTCAAGACATCAGTCAGGAAGTTAAAGCTTGGTCGCAAATGGGTCTTCCAAATGGACAATGACCCCAAGCATACTTCCAAAGTTGTGGCAAAATGTCTTAAGGACAACAAAGTCAAGGTATTGGAGTGGCCATCACAAAGCCCTGACCTCAATCCTATAGAAAATGTGTGGGCAGAACGGAAAAGCGTGTGCGAGCAAGGAGGCCTACAAACCTGACTCAGTTACACCAGCTCTGTCAGGAGGAATGGGCCAAAATTTACCCAACTTATTGTGGGAAGCTTGTGGAAGGCTACCCGAAACGTTTGACCCAAGTTAAACAATGTAAAGGCAATGCTACCAAATACTAATTGAGTGTATGTAAACTTCTGACCACTGGGAATGTGATGAAATAAATAAAAGCTGGAAATAAATCATTCTCTCTACTATTATTCTGACATTTCACATTCTTAAAATAAAGTGGTGATCCTAACTGACCTAAGACAGGGATTTTTTACTAGGATTAAATGTCAGGAATTGTGAAAAACTGAGTTTAAATGTATTTGGCTAAGGTGTATGTAAACTTCTGACTTCAACTGTATGTATGTATATGTATATATATGTATGTGTGTGTGTATGTATGTATGTATGTATGTATGTATGTATGTATGTATGTATGTATATATATATTATATTATATTATATTTATTTGCGAGGAAAAAAACATATGGGGGATTGGAAGTGATGCAGAGAATTACATTGATGGAAGATACAATCTATCTGCAATATTAAAGCTGATCTACTGCCCCAAAAAAAAAGAAGGGAGAAAAAAAAAGAAAGTGGTAACTGATCCAGTGTGTTGAGCTTGGGTGGAGCCTGGGTATTGGGCAATGCTTCCCTCCTCAGGGAAAACTTCCTTCTACTTGAAGAAATAATACAGTTGGCTAGAAATCACATTGATTGATATAAATGACATCTGTTATATTCTACAGTACAATCAATTCCCATCGTACCTGTATATGTACATTATTACAGTTATTTATCCTGTCAAATCAACAACAAAAATGGTGGTTATTAACTGTGATTCTGATGCACTTCTATTGTATAAAGACATTGTTGACCTGTGATGCCTGTGCCTTTTCTCTTCTCTCCTTACTCCGTCCCCTGTTTGTTCCAGGCTTGGGAGGTGACATGTCAGACCTGTGCCTACACCAACCACACTGTTCTGCCTGAGGCCCTGGAGCGCTGGCCTGTCAACCTGTTTGAGAAGCTGCTGCCTCGCCACCTGCAGATCATCTATGAAATCAACCACCTCCACCTCCAAGTAAGCTCTCCATGTCCACTCGCTGTCTCGGGACAAGGCGGCTGAATTCTGCTGCTCTGAAATGGGAGATGTTATAATTAATCTCGACTTGGAACATGTTTTTGATACTGGGAGCTCAAACAAGCTTATCCAGAATGTATTGAGTGTGTGGCTCTTTTTCTATGCCCTCAAGGATTGAGATCAGTGTAACTTGACCTTTCTAGTAGTAACCAGCACACAAATGCAAGTTTGGACTATATGTATGTGCACTTGACTTTGTGAATGCACACTTATGAGTTGATTCTCTGTGCCCTCTCAGAGGATCGCTGCCATGTTCCCAGGGGACAATGACCGTCTGAGGAGGATGTCCCTGATCGAGGAGGGAGACCCCAAGAGGATCAACATGGCCCACTTGTGTGTGGTGGGCTCCCACGCTGTCAACGGGGTCGCCCGGATCCACTCCGAAATCGTCAAGAACACTGTGTTAGTGTTGCATCTGAATTCACGTTTGATTATTAAATAAGTCTAACCAAAACAGGTGGTGATGGTGGCTGCTTTGCATGAAACAATTTACAGGCAAACCTGGATAATTGTTTTATTAGCTTTCCAGCTATGTTGACATTCCAGTCTGCAACATTGCACTCCCGAGTGGCGCAGTGGTCTAAGGCACTGCATTGCAGTGCTAGCTGTGCCACTAGAGATTCTGGTTCGAATCCAGGCTCTGTTGTAGCCGGCCGCGACCGGGAGACCCATGGGGCGGCGCACAATTGGCCCAGCGTCGTCCAGGGTAGGGGAGGGAATGGCCGGCAGGGATGTAGCTCAGTTGATAGAGCATGGCGTTTGCAACGCCAGGGTTGTGGGTTCGTTTCCCACGGGGGGCCAGTATGAAAAATAAAAAAATTATGTATGCACTCACTTAACTGTAAGTCGCTCTGGATAAGAGCGTCTGCTAAATGACTAAAATGTAAAAATGTCTATCAGAAAGACATCCACTGACTGTGCAACACTGAACTTGTTGTGTGCCTGATATATTCACTTGTTGTATGCCTCTCCGTCCTCAGTTTCAAGGACTTCTATGAGGTGGAGCCGGAGAAGTTCCAGAACAAGACCAATGGTATCACTCCTCGCCGCTGGCTGCTGCTGTGTAACCCAGGCCTGGCAGACCTCATCACTGAGGTAACAGATTTTACAGAGCTAGAGTACAGAGTACCTCTGAGTGTCTTTCCTTATGGTGCTACCTGCTGGGGAATTAACCTAATTGTGGGTTAGTAGTCCTGCACACCCAATTAACTCATTACAACCCTTTGTTGTGTTGACACTGGTCAGTATGTCCTTTTTCAAGACCACAAAAGTCTCTGCACACTGTATATGACTATGGTAACTATTTCATGCTTTTTGTTTTCATTGTAGAAAATTGGAGACGATTTCTTGATGGACCTCTTCCAGCTGAGGAAACTACTGGACTTCATTGATGAAGATGCTTTCATTCGTGACATCGCCAATGTAAAACAGGTAGCTGCTCATTCAGTTCCACATTCTTAACATCTCAACCCTTTATTTATTTTTCCCAAAAACAGAATAATGTAGAGTTGATACAATCTGGTATCATGTCTCCAGACTTGGGAAAGCCCTCTAAGTATTTCTCCACCTTTAAATCCCCCTCTGTGTGTTATTACAGGAGAACAAGCAGAAGTTTGCAGCCTACCTGGAGAAGGAGTATGAGGTGAAGATCAACCCTGAGTCCATCTTTGACATCCATGTGAAGAGAATCCATGAGTACAAGAGACAACTGCTCAACGTCCTCCACATCATCACCTTCTACAACCGTAAGAGCTCCTCCACACCTCATAATATGGGTGCCAACAGAAATCTCATACTTCAAACAACTGCACAGTGGAGACTGTTTGCACAGCCAGCATGTTCAGCAACCCAAGGTGCTCAGTGTTTTAAAATCCCTAATGATTTAAAGCCATTTAAATATTGACATTTAATTCAGCCAACTTCTATTGAGTAAATCATTGGACAAAAATCTATGTTCATTAGAACATCATGGTGGCAATGAAAGCACATTGCTGTTTGGATAGTAATCTCTCGTGACACTGTCATTTGGTTCTGGGCTATTTGGATAGAGATCCCAGTAGTAGGTGGACACTGCCCCCTGGCTGTGGAACAGTGAACTGAGCTGAGGGAAATGGAGTAAATTATAATAATGAAGGAAAAGTAACTAAAAACTATTTATTTACAGGGATTAAAAAGGACCCCTCTAAACACTTTGTTCCCAGGACTGTGATAATTGGAGGAAAGGTATGTAGTTAGACATCTGAGGTATATGACACAATCAGTCACCATGGAAATAGTATTTTGATTATGAAGATAAAATGTTATAACTGGTCTGTTGATTTGTTTGTAAGTGATACTTTATTCGATGTAAGATAAGTTAGTCATTCAGACATCAGATATTGTTTTTTCAATATCCAACTGTTGCCGCTGTCCTCTCTACCCAGGCTGCACCTGGCTACCACATGGCCAAAATGATCATCAAGCTGATTACGGCAGTGGGCCAGGTGGTCAACAACAACCCGGTGGTGGGGGACAGGTTAAAGGTCATCTACCTCGAGAACTACAGGGTCTCCCTAGCAGAGAAAGGTGAGAGGATGGCTTCCTTTCCTCATGTCCTCTCCTTTATGACAATCAATATGAAAGGGCTAGATGGGTGTGAGGAATAGGGTTCAATCCTATCCAGTCCTGTCCGCTATCATTGAAGGAAAGAGAGGCTACTGAGAATGGAACCCGAATCCTGTTTGTATGGAGCTATGGTTTGGACTGTGGAAAGTTCCCATATAATATCAGTTGTATTAACGTCAAAAGGTTTTAATGTTGTTCTACAGTATGTCTATATGTTACTGGGTAGGATATACCTAGTATGTTTGTTGTTAAGCCCCTCCCTCTCCCTGCTGTATGTTCCAGTGATCCCTGCAGCTGACTTATCAGAGCAGATCTCCACAGCGGGAACAGAGGCCTCTGGCACTGGCAACATGAAGTTCATGCTGAACGGAGCGCTCACCATTGGCACCATGGATGGAGCCAACGTAGAGATGGCTGAGGAGGCCGGAGAGGAGAACCTCTTCATCTTCGGCATGAGGGTGGAGGATGTGGATGCCATGGACCAAACAGGGTGAGAAAGAGCTGACTGGATTGGTGTGTCAGAATGAATGGGACTTGTCATAGTCTTAGAAATAAGAGACGCAGAGGAACGGCAAACGTGCTCTCTTACAAACTGGAAAGTAGACATTTCCCTGTTCATTTTATAGGGATATTTCACCCAAATTACTAAATGACAAATCGTTGTTGGTACCAAAAACCAATATGTAATTTTGGTGAACTGTCATTTTAACAGTCAAGATCGCATGGCAAATATTTACCCTGCAATGTTAGCCATCATATGGATAACCTTGCAACCTTCAAACAATGTATCTGCCCAGGTACAACGCCAGGGAGTACTACGAGCGTCTACCAGAGCTGAGGCAGGTGATTGATCAGATCCAAACTGGCTACTTCAGTCCCAAAGAGCATGAGCTCTTCAAGGATGTGGTGAACATGCTGATGAACCACGACAGGTAAGCAGAATAACAGCAGTGTTGTTAACATATCAGTGTTATTAGCATATTGTCAGCTCTTCAGAATGCAAGGATGAACTGACCCTGCTGCTGCTGTTAGCCCATAGGGCAGGGTTCCCCACTGGTGCGCCGAATTTGGCCAGTGGGTGATTTTATTTGGTCACCCCAAGTTTTCTGAGCAAAACATCTATTAATTGTTGGACATAAAAAGACTGTAAAAACACCAGAAAATTCACTCCAAGTGATTTTAATTTTGTAAATCTGTTCCAAAGTACTCCCACTCATAATAGAGAGATGTATGTGATCGTATACAAATGTAAGCAAGGTTTGTAATGTATTGGTTTAGTCAAATATTATATCTGTTTGGGCTTCTTGCGTTCAATTTGTAATTATGTTCCGGCCTACTGACCATGCGCTCAAGAAAAAAATTGGCCCGTGGCTGAATCTAGTTGATGATCCCTGCCATAGGGTACTTGATCACTGTTTTATTATCTGAAATGGATGTGATATCTCTACGTTTAAAAGCCTAAGAACTAATTTGTCACTCTGCCTCGCTTCCTCACCTCAGGTTCAAAGTGTTTGCTGACTATGAGGCCTACATCACTTGCCAAGATAGAGTCAATGAGCTATACAAGGTGGGCTATGTGTAATGGATTTCATACTATGAAAACATTTCAGAAAGCAAGTTTTAAGAACAGTTCTTGTACACTTCTGTCTATTTGAGCTTGTGATGAGGTCTGGCCCTTACTTTGACAGTTTTATTAAGTCCACCAGGGGATGCTGTCGGATATGGCTCTGTCTACGTTCATACCACCACACACTACAAAGCCATCTGTCTCTCTACCATTGGGAGGTCAGGGCAGTCAGCATGTCACATCTACCTGTCAGCAGCCCAGTCCTGTTGTTGGGTTACCATCTCATGTATTTAGTCTCATTGACAGCTGGGGCTCCTGTTGTGCTCTATGGTTGATTGGGTTGTCACAAAGTGTGCAACAATTTACAGCAAACCCCAGCACCCCATTAGCTGCTTCTATTACCAGATCCCCCTGTGGTTGAATTACCGCATCTGTTACACTTGTTTACACCTACAATTGTCTGTGTACAAAACAAGAAGAATGCAGTCGTTTGTGGCCTACATTTTGATTGTGAGCTTCCCAATTGTTTTCATTTCAGAACCCTAAAGAGTGGACAAGAACAGTGATCCGAAACATAGCTGGTTCCGGCATGTTCTCCAGCGACCGAACCATCAGCGAGTATGCCCGGGAGATCTGGGGCGTGGAGCCATCTGATGTGAAGATCCCACCCCCCAACGAGCCCCCTGTTGAATCCCGCAAATGAGGAGCCTGTCTTCATGCTCCAGTTAGGGGAGAAGTGCTTGTGTTACCTCTCCTTGCTGTAGGTCTGTCTCATCATCAGACTTGACTCATAAACCCACCCATTACAACATTGCAGAGAGTCGGAGGCAGATCGCATGTACAAAGTCAAAACAGCCAAAGGAAGCTTGTTTGAATCTAGCCTCTGCTTACTATTACTCCTGCTAGTCTTTAACTCCACCATGTGCACTTATAATGTAGATGGCAATCCCAGTTGATCAGTAATGACCAGACAGTTTACACTGCTGAATATGATTGTCTATTGCTGACTCAGAATAATCAACCAAAATAACTCATTTTGTTTGCTACTGACTAAGACTTGTAATAGGGATTTATTTTCATCATCACTGAGAAAGCATTGCATTTCAGAGTTATAGAATGTGTACTGTGATATTTTCAGCTATATGTAATGTAAGTGCCTGGTTATCATTAATGTACCAGTTCTTGACCATAACATTGTTTCTCTCTCTTATGAATGCTATCTACAAGCAAGTGCCTGGACTAAAGCTGTAACATGCCATTGGTCTAATGGAATGTTTTGTACAATTCTACTGTATTTGATTTGAAAATGTGTAGTATACAGCTTGGGCAAAACAGTTCTGATGCTTGACTATGTCCCTTATTAGGAAAACCATGCTCAGTAGCCTGTTACAACACTCACACTTCAAACAGAGACTATGGAGCAGCTGTCACCACAAATGGCCTTGGCGTGACTTCTGAATTGAGATAGCTACTGTATAAGCATAATCTATATTTCAGTATCACTTAAATGTCTTCGCTCTAAAGGTACTTAAAACAAAAAGCATATGCGTGTTTATCTCAGTAACTACTTTTAAGCAGTTGTCTTTTTTTCTGCCTTGAATAAGTACTGTATCACGTCACTGCAATCATGTTAATATTATTAAATAAAGGTTACTTCACTTGTGATTATAGTGTGAGAATATCATTCTACAAGTGAGTATAGGGAACCTCAGGTAAATACACTGCTCAAAAAAATAAAGGGAACACTTAAACAACACAATGTAACTCCAAGTCAATCACACTTCTGTGAAATCAAACTGTCCACTTAGGAAGCAACACTGATTGACACATTTCACATGCTGTTGTGCAAATGGAATAGACAACAGGTGGAAATTATAGGCAATTAGCAAGACACCCCCAATAAAGGACTGGTTTTGCAGGTGGTGACCACAGACCACTTCTCAGTTCCTATACTTCCTGGCTGATGTTTTGGTCACTTTTGAATGCTGGCGGTGCTTTCACTCTAGTGGTAGCATGAGACGGAGTCTACAACCCACACACGTGGCTCAGGTAGTGCAGCTCATCCAGGATGGCACATCAATGCGAGCTGTGGCAAGAAGGTTTGCTGTGTCTGTCACCGTAGTGTCCAGAGCATGGAGGCGCTACCAGGAGACGTGGAGGAGGCCGTAAGAGGGCAACAACCCAGCAGCAGGACTGCTACCTCCGCCTTTGTGCAAGGAGGAGCAGGAGGAGCACTGCCAGAGCCCTGTAAAATGACCTCCAGCAGGCCACAAATGTGCATGTGTCTGCTCAAACGGTCAGAAACAGACTCCATGAGGGTGGTATGAGGGCCCGACGTCCACAGGTGGGGGTTGTGCTTACAGCCCAACACCATGCAGGACGTTTGGCATTTGCCAGAGAACACCAAGATTGGCAAATTCGCCACTAGCGCCCTTTGCTCTTCACAGATGAAAGCAGGTTCACACTGAGCACATGTGACAGACGTGACAGAGTCTGGAGACACCGTGAAGAACGTTCTGCTGCCTGCAACATCCTCCAGCATGACCGGTTTGGCGGTGGGTCAGTCATCGTGTGGGGTGGCATTTCTTTGGGGGGCCGCACAGCCCTCCATGTGCTCGCCAGAGGTAGCCTGACTGCCATTAGGTACCGAGATGAGATCCTCAGACCCCTTGTGAGACCATATGCTGGTGCGGTTGGCCCTGGGTTCCTCCTAATGCAAGACAATGCTAGACCTCATGTGGCTGGAGTGTGTCAGCAGTTCCTGCAAGAGGAAGGCATTGATGCTATGGACCGCCCGTTCCCCAGACCTGAATCCAATTGAGCACATCTGGGACATCATGTCTCGCTCCATCCACCAACGCCACGTTGCACCACAGACTGTCCAGGAGTTGGCGGATGCTTTAGTCCAGGTCTGGGAGATCCCTCAGGAGACCATCCGCCACCTCATCAGGAGCATGCCCAGGCGTTGTAGGGAGGTCATACAGGCACGTGGAGGCCACACACACTACTGAGCCTCATTTTGACTTGTTTTAAGGACATTACATCAAAGTTGGATCAGCCTGTAGTGTGGTTTTCCACTTTAATTTTGAGGGTGACTCCAAATCCAGACCTCCATGGGTTGATACATTTGATTTCCATTGATAATTTTTGTGTGATTTTGTTGTCAGCACATTCAACTATGTAAAGAAAAAAGTATTTAATACGATTATTTCATTCATTCAGATCTAGGATGTGTTATTTTAGTGTTCCCTTTATTTTTTTGAGCAGTGTAGTCAAACTGCACTGGCAGCCTGTTGTTGGTCTGTTGTGGTCTGCCATGTCTCTCCACCCCTCTGCATCCTGGCCTGCTTCTCAAACATGGCTCCAACAGTAGTGTTCTTCCTCCCACACCCTCTCTCACCAAGCCTGTTTCTGGTTTGTGGGGACTATCACAACTACAGCATGACAGTTTTGCCTAGAGTATGTTTTCAAAGGCGGCATCTACACAGGCTGCCCAATTCTGATATTTTTTTCACTAATTGGTTTCACAGATCAGCTCTGAAAAAGCTCTGATGCAAAAACTCTGATTGGCCAAAAGACCAATTAGTGGAAGAAATATCAGAATTGGGCTGCCTGTGTAAACACAGCCCATGTGGTATTGCCACTTGATCCAGATACTCAACTCCCAATACCAGTATTTAAAGCTAGAATCCTTAATTGAAACAAAGCGTAAAAAGCTGAGGGATAGGCCTAGAGAAATGTAACTGCTCAAATTCATAAACTGAGCTATGGATGCAAGAACTGACCATCCACGTGACATTCTTCACATTGTCATTTCTCAGTCCAAGGAAGGAATTAGATGAGTAGAGGTTCAAAAAGTAAACCACTTCATGTTTTTAATTCAATTAAGTTTATTCCATTACTTAACAAGCATATGTACATAATTATTTGTATGTCCGGTATAGTAGATACCAAAAAAGTTGTGGGAATTGTAAACCATTCAAATACTAGCAAGAAAATCAAGATGTTTTCAAATAATAGGCCATTTTCTGATTTTGAACTACTATAGACATGAAAAGGATCAATGTTGACTATGTAGGCTCCAACATGAGTTGTCAACAGTTGTCACACTCTTAACCAGACACTTGTGAGGTATATTCAATCTACCAGCCCACATGTGTTACTGAGTCACTCGTTTCTACACACGGCAAGATATATTGCAAAGGGCAGCAGACATCATGTACATTACTGGAAAAGGTCAAATGAGAAATCAACAAGCACAATTTGCCAATGCCCCTTCACTGACAAGAAGCAATACAAGCAAACTTCACTTTTCACATTAAAGTTAGATGATATCATTGTATTAAAAGGGCTTAGAGAAGTTAACTCAAAGAGCCTGGTTTAGTTAATCAAGATGAGAGCTCCACTGCACTGCAGACCAGTCTTCTTTAAGAGTGGAGGTGAAGTCTCTGCTTATGGCGGGTAAATGACAACAGTCAAACAGCCTACCCTGCAAATTTGAATTGCTAATTTAAAACATGTCTTTCCTCCACAATGGCTCCACTTGAGTAGGTGATTAAAAAGATGCCCTCCTTTGTAAATTGCATATCTGAAAAGCACACATACCTGTACAAAATAATGATTTAGTTTTAATCTCATCAGATTGCTTCGCAGCTTAAATAGTTGTCATCTGAGATAATCATAAAATATTTCCACTAACTGGGAAATGTCTAGTCTCTCACTAACAATACTCATCCATTTGTACATGCATATATAAATACATCTTATTTCTCAATTGGAGGGGATATATATTTATTCGGTTTCCCCTACAGTACGTCCACTTTAACAGTTGATCATTTCCATTCCAAAACTATAGAACAGCTGACCATTTACCCTGTATCTCTCCCTTTACCCTTCTTACATTGTGTGATTAAATAACTTAAGTACAGACTGACAATCTGAGGCCACTTCCTAAACTGATGCATTTCATACAATGCATTGCATTCCCCACAAGAGATAACTCATTTTGGATGACCTGATGGCCATACCATCCATCATATTGCTTTAGTGCAGAGAAAGGGGAAAATGACCACCAAACTATATAACTGGCCACTCACCATTCATTAAATAACAAAATGTTATACAGTGTATACAATTTGATAAATTAAGAAAGTGTAGAACAGCCAATGGAAAATAATAGAAATTGTGTACTTTGGTAATGCTTGTTTGGAATTTATTGACCAGTGTGGGGTAGGCCTAATTGAAGAGAAACCAGTCAGCATTAACTAGTAGGACACTGGATGTGCAAAAAGTAACATTGGGGTCATTTACTGTATACTCAGCAGTGTTCAGTGCATTGGATGGATGGGCACACTGACGTTCCCAGACTGCAGGTGCTGCCCAGCCACACTCCTCTCTGGCTCCGTCCTACATTAATTATGGTTCCACCGATCAACTGCTATCAAGTCAAAGAGAACATAATACAGTCTTTAGTCTTCCTCTGACCACACCAATGGAATATGCACTGTCACTCACACACCACTTTCTAAGATTATTCATGTTCAATCACTAGCTGGTGTAACAATGTTGCTTCCATCCCTCTCCTCGCCCCTACCTGGGCTTGAACCAGGGACCCTCTGCACACATCGACAACAGTCACCCTCGAAGCACCGTTACCCGTCGCTCCACAAAAGCCACGGCCCTTGCAGAGCAAGGGAAACAACTACTTCAAGGTCTCAGAGCGAGTGACGTCACCGATTGAAACGCTACTAGTGCGCACCGCTAACTAGCTAGCCATTTCACACCGGTTACACTCACCCCCCTTTTGACCTCCTCATTTTCCGCAGCAACCAGTGATCCGGGTCACGGCACCAATGTAACAATGTTGCTTCCGTCCCTCTCCTCGCCCCTACCTGGGCTTGAACCAGGGACCCTCTGCACACATCAACAACAGTCACCCTCGAAGCACCGTTACCCGTCGCTCCACAAAAGCCGCGGCCCTTGCAGAGCAAGGGAAACAACTACTTCAAGGTCTCAGAGCGAGTGACGTCACCGATTGAAACGCTACTAGTGCGCACCGCTAACTAGCTAGCCATTTCACACCGGTTACACTCACCCCCCTTTTGACCTCCTCCTTTTCCACAGCAACCAGTGATCCGGGTCACGGCACCAATGTAACAATGTTGCTTCCGTCCCTCTCCTCGCCCCTACCTGGGCTTGAACCAGGGACCCTCTGCACACATCAACAACAGTCACCCTTGAAGCACCGTTACCCATCGCTCCACAAAAGCCGCGGCCCTTGCAGAGCAAGGGAAACAACTACTTCAAGGTCTCAGAGCGAGTGATGTCACCAATTGAAACGCTACTAGTGCGCACCGCTAACTAGCTAGCCATTTCACACCGGTTACACTGGCAAAGAGGAGGGTGAACGTGTTTTAGCACTAAGATTTGGAATTAAAATGGACATTTCCATTATGTCTTCTCAGCTTGGGTAAACACTTTACTATGCACCGGATCATTAATATGGTATTTTTGCTTTGAGAGGTAGGCTATAATTGGCAAGTGGAAACCATATTTCTTAAACCTTAGCTCTTCAGTTAATTTCCTCCCTGATATCTTAAAATTCATGAGCTTGCCCTGAAGCGTCCTAAGGGGTTCTAAAATAAAGTGACCAGTCTTCTCTTTTAGAAGGCAAATAATGATACTGTCAAGCCCAAAACCAATATTTGATCAAATGTATCATATTTAATTCACGTTATATATTTCCTTAAATAGAAAAAAGTTAAGAGTCCAAAACTTCTTATCTGAGATCAGTCAAATATAAAAGATAGACATTTAAATCATGATCGGTAATGTAACAACAAAAATAAAATTGGGAAAATAAACAGGTTAAAAGATCCACTGGACTGGTATTGACAGATAATTTGCTCTTAGCTGCAGATTAGTTGTAAAATGAAGACCCTTCTCCTTCCTCGCCCTGTGGGTGAATGTATATAACCCCAAACATTTAGCAATTAAAAACACTGCTTCCCTGCTCGATCCACTGTTCTTCCCACTCCATGAGGTTTGACGTCTTGGCTCCTTAAAATGTGTGCATATTTCATCTTCTTTGTGCTCAAGCCATCCTCTTGGTTTGTGTAACCTTGACAACATGCCAAGCCAGTTGTCCATCCTTCTCTCTTTGCCAGTGTTCCATTTATGTCTTGCAGGAATTTTAGGTGTCAAAGGAATGCTAAATAAAGGAATGGATGCATCTTCTTCAGTCCATGCGTGTACATTTCAATGTTTTATGAGATATGTACACACCAACCATAAAGCATACAGTGGAAGAGTTTCAGTGTGTGTGCCAGAGAATGTGTGTGTGTGAGGGTGGTGTAAGAGGAAACAATGGACAGGTCGAAATGTTCTCGTCAGTTATGCATGGGGATGAGTCGTGCCAAGGAAGTCACTGGAAGAAAAATTAAATCAAACAGAATTACGTTTAGCACAACTCAGTACAAAGGAGGCTAAGAAAGTAGACACCTACTGTACAACTAATTGCCTACATTTAATAATTTCTACTCAGTTGGCCTAAGGTCAAGACACAAATTGTCAACAGTGAAACACTCCTTACTACTGTGTATATGTGCGCAGCTGGTCTAGCTGCTTTACCTGAGTATGTGTGGCAGCTCAGGACTCCTGTAAATGAACTTGTGCTTGTAGGCCAGAGAGACAGGAAAGGGGATGAACTGGAGCTTGTGTCCACTCAGGCTCTTGGACTTGGAAGCAATGTCGTACAGCTGAAAGGGGGAAGGAGCCAAACACAATGGAGTTATGGGAGGCTTGTGTTCGGTCCAGTTTAAAAGAATAGCAAATAGACCTGGCCCTGCTGTGAACTATGACTGTTCTGTGCTACAGAGCATTAGTAGTGATGAACATTTGAGGGGTTCATTTTATTAAATTGTTTTAAAGCCAATGAAATAGATTACCAATAAATTAAAAACAGAATAGTAATAAAAAAAAATCAAATGAATTCCATTTCTGTGTTTTCCTTCACTGCTATAATACAGTAGCGTGACTCAAATCTGAGTCTGTAAATGAAAGGGATAGTTTGGAATTTTGGCAATGAAGTCCTTTATCAACTTCCCCATAGTCAGATGAACTTGTGGATACCATTTTAATGTCTGTGTCCAGTATGAATTAAGTTGGAGGTAGTTTCACGAGCCAATGCTAACTAATGTTAGCGCAATGACTGGAAGTCTATGGGAATAGCTAGCATGCTTCCAGTCATTGTGCTAATGTTAGTTAGCATTGACTCGCGAAACTACCTCCAAATTCATTCATAATGGATGCTGACACATAAAAATGGTATCCACGAGTACATCGGACTCTGGGGAAGTAGATAAAGTCTACAAAAAATCCCAAACTATCCCTTTAAATAAAACTTGTCATGATTGAAGTTTAATTTGCTCCGAGGTTCGAACTTAACAACTAAGCTGAAATTAATACTGGCATATACAGAATTGATTTTCAAAATATGATTTTTTAAATCATAAATTTTGGGAGTCATACATACATAGATACATACATATAGTGAGGGAAAAAAGTATTTGATCCCCTGCTGATATGTACGTTTGCCCACTGACAAAGACAGAATAACAACAAAAAAATCCAGAAAAACGCATGTCAAAAATGTTATAAATTGATTTGCATTTTAATGAGGGAAATAAGTATTTGACCCCTCTGCAAAACATGATTTAGTACTTGGTGGCAAAACCCTTGTGGCAATCACAGAGGTCAGACGTTTCTTGTAGTTGGCCACCAGGTTTGCACACATCTCAGGAGGGATTTTGTCCCACTCCTCTTTGCAGATCTTCTCCAAGTCATTAAGGTTTCGAGGCTGACGTTTGGCAACTCGAACCTTCAGCTCCCGCCACAGATTTTCTATGGGATTAAGGTCTGGAGACTGGCTAGGCCACCCCAGGACCTTAATGTGCTTCTTCTTGAGCCACTCCTTTGTTGCCTTGGCCGGGTGTTTTGGGCCATTTTCAATGCCCTGGCTGAGGGAAGGAGGTTCTCACCCAAGATTTGACGGTACATGGTGCCGTCCATCGTCCCTTTGATGCGGTGAAGTTGTCCTGTCCCCTTAGCAGAAAAACACACCCAAAGCATACTGTTTCCACCTCCATGTTTGACGGTGGGGATGGTGTTCTTGGGGGTCATAGGCAGCATTCCTCCTCCTCCAAACACGTCGAGTTGAGTTGATGCCAAAGAGCTCGATTTTGGTCTCATCTGACCACAACACTTTCACCCAGTTCTCCTCTGAATCATCAAAATCCAAAAAATCACATTGTATGATTTTTAAGTAATTAATTTGCATTTTATTGCATGACATAAGTATTTGATACATCAGAAAAGCAGAATTTTATATTTGGTACAGAAACCTTTGTTTGCAATTACAGAGATCATACGTTTCCTGTAGGTCTTGACCAGGTTTGCACACACTGCAGCAGGGATTTTGGCCCACTCCTCCATACAGACCTTCTCCAGATCCTTCAGGTTTCGGGGCTGTCGCTGGGCAATACGGACTTTCAGCTCCCTCCAAAGATGTTCTATTGGGTTCAGGTCTGGAGACTGGCTAGGCCACTCCAGGACCTTGAGATGCTTCTTACGGAGCCACTCCTTAGTTGCCCTGGCTGTGTGTTTCGGGTCGTTGTCATGCTGGAAGACCCAGCCACGACCCATCTTCAATGCTCTTACTGAGGGAAGGAGGTTGTTGGCCAAGATCTCGCGATACATGGCCCCATCCATCCTCCCCTCAATACGGTGCAGTTGTCCTGTTCCCTTTGCAGAAAAGCATCCCCAAAGAATGATGTTTCCACCTCCATGCTTCATGGTTGGGATGGTGTTCTTGGGGTTGTACTCATCCTTCTTCTTCCTCCAAACACGGCGAGTGGAGTTTAGACCAAAAAGCTCTATTTTTGTCTCATCAGACAACATGACCTTCTCCCATTCCTCCTCTGGATCATCCAGATGGTCATTGTCAAACTTCAGACGGGCCTGGACATGCGCTGGCTTGAGCAGGGGGACCTTGCGTGCGCTGCAGGATTTTAATCCATGACGGCGTAGTGTGTTACTAATGGTTTTCTTTGAGACTGTGGTCCCAGCTCTCTTCAGGTCATTGACCAGGTCCTGCCGTGCAGTTCTGGGCTGATCCCTCACCTTCCTCATGATCATTGATGCCCCACGAGGTGAGATCTTGCATGGAGCCCCAGACCGAGGGTGATTGACCGTCATCTTGAACTTCTTCCATTTTCTAATAATTGAGCCAACAGTTGTTGCCTTCTCACCAAGCTGCTTGCCTATTGTCCTGTAGCCCATCCCAGCCTTGTGCAGGTCTACAATTTTATCCCTGATGTCCTTACACAGCTCTTTGGTCTTGGCCATTGTGGAGAGGTTGGAGTCTGTTTGATTGAGTGTGTGGACAGGTGTCTTTTATACAGGTAACGAGTTCAAACATGTTTAGGTAATACAGGTAATGAGTGGAAAACAGGAGGGCTTCTTAAAGAAAAACTAACAGGTCTGTGAGAGCCGGAATTCTTACTGGTTGGTAGGTGATCAAATACTTATGTCATGCAATAAAATGCAAATTAATTACTTAAAAATCATACAATGTGATTTTCTGGATTTTTGTTTTAGATTCCGTCTCTCACAGTTGAAGTGTACCTATGATAAAAATTACAGACCTCTACATGCTTTGTAAGTAGGAAAACCTGCAAAATCGGCAGTGTATCAAATACTTGTTCTCTCCACTGTATATACCTATACATATATATACACACACACACACACACACACACATATATATATATATATATATATATATATATACACACACACACATATACATATATATATATATATATATATATATATATATATATATATATATATATATATATATTGCACAGGATATTAATGACCTGTATTAAATCATCTATGAAATGAACTTTGTTTTTTTTGGTAGATCAAATAGTTTCCTGTGTCCTCTGCAAAAGGAGGACCAGATGAAGGCTGTGCGAGGTCGCGATGATGTGGATGACTTTTATGAAGCCCAAAGTAAAAGGGATACCTTCTTCCCTAGATGAAAGGGCACGACTGAGTCATCCTCGGCATGAAGGATAAGCAATGGACAGGATATGTGGTCCACACTACAAAAGAGAAGCAACAAGCTAAAATTACATTCAAGTCTCTGAAGATCTTGGAGTGTCTGAACATGCATGGTTGCTAGTATGTTAATGGCCCTACGGTCCTTATACTATACTAGTGCTTGGCGACTCCACGAGAAAGTACTGCACAAAGAAAGTCTTGACAGAGTTGAATGAATGTCCTCTGTAGGCCACCTACAATACAAGACTGACTTTCCCAGAGTTAGCCCCCTCAGCACATACCAGAGGACATGGAGAAAAGGCATGGACAGTGCTTGGGTCGGCCATGTTCAGACTATGCCTCTGCTCTTTAACATGCAAACAAGCAGTCTTTTAATCTGTTGATATAACATTTGATACAAGGGTTTGACCTCTTGATGAATGGTTGTGTGTCAGAGAGGTCTAATTGACCCAACAAGCAGTTTGTGTGAAGACGCAATCTTGAAAACATGAGCAGGAACAAGTGACATGACACTCTGCTTTGAATCTTACGTTAAACTAAATGGTCTGGAAAGAATCAAGTTCAACCTACTTTTCATCACTGGCAAATCGAATGTCATTTGCTGATATGGTATCTAAAAAGAACCATTCAAAGCCTGGAAGGTATCGGTAGACCTACAAGAAGCAATGACACAGACGGTAGCTAATAATATAAATAAACGTTACATCAAATACAATTAAATAAGATTCAACATGTAGTCAAGGGATTAAGAGGAAATGCTTGCCATAGAGAAGGGATGGCTCTTGGCCTCCTCTCGGATGTTGGTGAATGGAGATTCCAAGACTAAGGAGTCTGGGGGCATCCCTGGAAAATAGAAGAATGTCATTCAAATCAAACCAACCATCATGAAAAATAACCATACTTATCTAAGATGTATAAATAAATTGCCTTGAATTCATTTCATTCAGGCATTCACTTCCTTGAATAAAGCAGTCATAACTAGCCACTTTCTGTGACCCTGTAACCCAGTCAGAAGGGTGTGAAAAGACACTTGAGCTACCACTGGAAGAAAAGCCTTTGCGTCTGGTGTGTTCAGGCCAACAGCCAATGAGTTAGTTCCTCCGGTAGTACACAACACAACACCAAGCCCGAGTTCATGTTTCTCACACTTGCTAGGATCTGACCAGTGATTGAATATACTTGAAAATGGGCAGAAGCCTAATACTGTATGACCATATGATTATTATGCTTAACCTGTATTGGCCATTGGGTGAGGAATGCTTGTAAAAGTCCATGGTGGACCCAAGCATGTGACCCTTAAACTTAATGTTAGTTACATAAGTGTCAATATTTTGTCAAACTTTTCAGAATCCCTCTCTGGATTCTCTAAGTACCAAACACAAGAGGGTAAGTTGACCCACTTTATTTAAACTCTAAAAACAGCACAGGTATATGGGTCTTTCCACCAATTAGGTGCCTTTTGAGTGGTGTAACTAGGTGAATTTAAATTTAAATTCCACCTTATTTTAACATTGTCATAAAGAGCACGTTCAACTTAATAAAAAAAACTTTCTCCCCCCCCCCCCCCCATCTCAAGAGGTAAAAATAAATAATAATACTATAGTAAATGCCTATTAAGTGCCAAATAAAGTAACAGGATTGAAGAGTTCTTCATCTTGAATCAGCCATGGCAGGGGGAATGGAAGCTTGTTGTGTGCAACAGGGAGGGGTAATTGAATGCAAGCTTTAAAAAACTAATTGAAAGTGTTAAAACATTTCTAGCTTGTCCATCTATGGATAACAGGGTTGACGTCTTATGCTCGACCTGCAAAATCTTCCACCACAAAACGGCCAAAAAGAGTAGAACCAGCTCACCTGCTTTTACACTGTGATTTGAGTATTAGACGTTCAATGTCGATTGAAAAAAATACTTTAAAAGGAATAGTTTCACCATATTAAAACGAGAGTTCAGTTCACTTAACAGGGATGACTTTAAAATTAGGGAATAGTTAAAAAGATTATGAATCACTAATAACATGAATTTAAAAAAATTGTCTTCAGAAATGACTGTCAAAGCAACAAAATAACTAGGGCTTTAAAATGATGGTGAAAACTTAGAGAAATGTTGGGGTTAAGTGGGTTAAAATCTTCCTAGAAGTCAGAGGATGCAAAATGCAAAATGCTGAATGTTGTTACGTTAGCAAGTCTTTATTCATCTTAAAAATATGATTTATTGCATTTTAAATGTGGTCCATCTTAAAAGGGCACTTCATTTAATATAACAGACTATTACAATTCTGTATTTGTGCACAATTTCCACTTAAAATATAAAAAGGGACAAAAAGGCACTCATTTCGTGGAACAACCCATATAACACCTTAATTCTAAGAATGCTACTTTATTTAAACCCCCCCCCAAAATTGTGACTTGTTTTTCTAATACATTTTGTTGCGTGATACACGCAGCACCTGCACTCACTAAAGGCTATATAAATCAAGAATATACAGTGCATTCGGAAAGTACTCAGACCCCTTGACATTTTACACATTTTGTTACGTTATAGCCTTATTCTAAAATTGATTAAATATAATTTTTTCCTCATCAATCTACACACAATACCCCATAATGACAATCCCAAAACAGTTTTAGAAATCTTTGCAAATGTATATTTTTTTTTTTTTAACAACTGAAATATCACATTTACATAAGTATTCAGACCCTTTACTCAGCACCTTTGGCAGCAATTACAGCCTTGAGTCTTCTTGGGTTTGATGCTACAAGCTTGGCACACCTGTATTTGGGAAGTTTCTCCCATTCTTCTCTGTAGATCCTCTCAAGCTCTGTCAAATTGCATGGGGAGCGTCGCTGCACAGCTATTTTCAGGTCTCTTCAGAGATATTCGATCGGGTTCAAGTCCGGGCTCTGGCTGGGCTACTCAAGGACATTCAGAGACTTGTCCAGAAAGTCACTCCTGTGTTTTCTTGGCTGTGTGCTTAGGGTCGTTGTCCTGTTGGAAGGTGAACCTTCCCCTCAGTAAGGTCCTGAGCAGGTTTTCATCAAGGATCTCGCTGTACTTTACTCTGTTCATCTTTCCCTCAATCATGACTAGTCTCCCAGTCCCTGCCGCTGAAAAACATCCCCACAGCATGATGCTGCCACCACCATGCTTCACCATTGGGATGGTGCCTGGTTTCCTCCAGATGTGACGCTTGGCATTCAGGCCAAAGAGTTCAATCTTGGTTTCATGAGACCAGATAATCTTGTTTCTCATGGTCTGAGAGTCTTTTAGGTGCCTTTTGGCAAACTCCAAGCAGGCTGTTGTGCCTTTTATAATAATAATAATAATAATAAGCCATTTAGCAGACGCTTTTATCCAAAGCGACTTACAGTCATGCGTGCAGACATTTTTGTGTATGGGTGGTCCCGGGGATCGAACCCCCTACCTTGGCGTTACAAGCGCCGTGCACTACCAGCTGAGCTGAGGAGTGGCTTCCGTCTGGCCACCCTACCATAAAAAGGCCTGATTGGTGGAGTGCTGCAGAGATGGTTGTCCTTCTGGAAGGTTCTCCCATCTCCACAGAGGAACTCTGGAGCTGTCAGAGTGAACATCGGGTTCTTGGTCACCTCCCTGACCAAGGCCCTTTTCCCCCGATTGCTCAGTTTGGCCGGGCGGTCAGCTCTAGGAAGAGTATTGGTGTTTACAAACATCTATTTAAGAATGATGGAGGCTACTGTGTTCTTGGGGACCTTCAATGCTGCAGACATTTTTTGGTACACTTCCCCAGATCTGTCCCTCGAAACAATCCTGTCTCGGAGCTCTACTGACAATTCCTTCTACCTCATGGCTTGGTTTTTGCTCTGACATACACTGTCAACTGTGGAACCTTATATAGACAGGTGTGTGCCTTTCCAAATCATGTCCAATCAATTGAATTTACCACAGGTGGACTCCAATCAAGGTTTAGAAACATCAAGGATGATCAATGGAAACAGGATGCACCCAAGCTCAATTTTGAGTCTCATAACAAAGGGTATATGTTTTTTATTCATTATGGGGTATTCTGTGTAGATTGATGAGAATATATGAAAAAGTATTTGCCCCCTTTCTAATTTTCTCTACTTTTGCATATTTGTGATACTGAATGTTATCAGATCTTCAACCAAAACCTAATATTAGATAAAAGGGAACATAAGTGAACAAATAACACAACAATTACATATTTATTTCATAAAAAAGTTATGCAACACCCAATTCCCCTGTGTGAAAAAGTAATTGCCCCCTTACACTCAATAACTGGTTGTGCCACCTTTAGCTGCAATGACATGGTTCCAGTAATGCCTGGCGAAAACCAAACTCTGCATTCCACAGTAAGAACATCATACCAAAAGGTCAAGCATGGTGGTGGTGGTGTGATGGTTTGGGGATGCTATGCTGCCTCAGGACCTGGACGACTTGCCATAATAGAAGGAACCATGAATTCTGCTCTGTATCAGAGAATTCTACAAGAGAATGTCAGACCATCCGTCTGTGAGCTGAAGCTGAAGCGCAGCTGGGACAACGATCCAGTCTACATGAAAATTGCTAAAAAGCAACATATTTGAAGTTTTGGAATGGCCTAGTCAAAGTCCAGACCTAATCCCAATTGAGATGTTGTGGCAGGACTTGAAACGAGCAGTTCATGCTAGAAAACCCACACGTCACTGAGTTAAAGCGTTCTGCATGGAAGAGTGGGCCAGAATTCCTCCATATCGACGTGAGAGACTGATCAACAACTACAGGAAGCATTTGGTTGGAGTCATTGCAGCTAAAGGTGGCACAACCAGTTATTGAGTGTAAGGGGGCAATTGTTCCCTTTATCTAATATTAGGTTTTGGTTGAAGATCTGATAACATTCAGTATCACAAATATGCAAAAGTAGAGAAAATTTGAAAAGGGGCAAATACTTTTTCATAGCACTGTGTATACAGTTGAAGTCGGAAGTTTACATCTTAGCCAAATACATTTAAACTCAGTTTTTCACAATTCCTGACATTTAATCCTAGTAAAAATTCATTGTCAGTTAGGATCACCACTTTATTTTAAGAATGTGAAATGTCAGAATAATAGTACAGAGAATGATTTATTTCAGCTTTTATTTATTTCATTACATTCCTAGTGGGTCAGAAGTTTACATACACTCAATTAGTATTTGGTAGCATTGCCTTTAAATTGTTTAACTTGGATCAAATGTTTGGGTAGCCTTCCACAAGCTTCCCACAATAAGTTGGGTGAATTTTGGCCCATTCCTCCTGACAGAGCTGGTGTAACTGAGTCAGGTTTGTAGGCCTCCTTGCTCGAACACGCTTTTTCAGTTCTGTCAACAGATTTTCTATAGGCTTGAGGTCAGGGCTTTGTGATGGCCACTCCAATACATTGACTTTGTTGTCCTTAAGCCATTTTGCCACAACTTTGGAAGTATGCTTGGGGTCATTGTCCATTAGGAAGACCCATTTGCGACCAAGCTTTAACTTCCCGACTGATGTCTTGAGATGTTGCTTCAATATATCCACATAATTTCCCTTCCTCATGATGTCATCTATTTTGTGAAGTGCACCAGTCCCTACTGCAGCAAAGCACCCCCACAGCATGATGCTGCCACCCCTGTGCTTCACGGTTGGGATGGTGTTCTTCAGCTTGCAAGCATTCCCCTTTTTCCTCCAAACATAACGATGGTCATTATGGCCAAACAGTTTTATTTCATCAGACCAGAGGACATTTCTCCAAAAAGTACGATCTTTGTCCCCATGTGCAGTTGCAAACCGTAGTCTGGCTTTTTTATGGCGGTTTTGGAGCAGTGGCTTCTTCCTTGCTGAGCGGCCTTTCAGGTTATGTCGATATAGGACTTGGTTTACTGTGGATATAGATACATTTGTACCTGTTTCCTCCAGCATCTTCACAAGGTCCTTTGCTGTTGTTCTGGGATTGATTTGCACTTTTCGCACCAAAGTACGTTCAACTCTAGGAGACAGAACGCGCCTCTTTCCTGAGCGGTATGAAGGCTGCGTGTCCCATGGTGTTTATACTTGTGTACTATTGTTTCTACAGATGAACGTGGTACCTTCAGGCGTTTGGAAATTGCTCCCAAGGATGAACCAGACTACAAAAAAATTTCTGAGGTCTTGGCTGATTTCTTTTGATTTTCCCATGATGTCGAGCAAAGAGGCACTGAGTTTGAAGGTAGGCCTTGAAATACATCCACAGGTACACCTCCAATTGACTCAAATGATGTCAATTAGCCTATCAGAAGCTTCTAAAGCCATGACATCATTTTCTGGAATTGTCCAAGCTGTTTAAAGGCACAGTCAACTTAGTGTATGTAAACTTCTGACCCACTGGAATTGTGATACAGTGAATTATAAGTGAAATAATCTGTCTGTAAACAATTGTTGGAAAAATTGCTTGTGTCATGCACAAAGTAGATGTCCTAACAGACTTGCCAAAACTATAGTTCGTTAACAAGAAATTTGTGGAGTGGTTGAAAAACGATTTTTAATGACTCCAACCTAAGTGTATGTAAACTTCCGACTTCAACTGTGTATATACACTGCTCAAAAAAATAAAGGGAACACTTAAACAACACAATGTAACTCCAAGTCAATCACACTTCTGTGAAATCAAACTGTCCACTTAGGAAGCAACACTGATTGACAATAAATGTCACATGCTGTTGTGCAAATGGAATAGACAACAGGTGGAAATTATAGGCAATTAGCAAGACACCCCCAATAAAGAAGTGGTTCTGCAGGTGGTGACCACAGACCACTTCTCAGTTCCTATGCTTCCTGGCTGATGTTTTGGTCACTTTTTAATGCTGGCGGTGCTTTCACTCTAGTGGTAGCATGAGACGGAGTCTACAACCCACACAAGTGGCTCAGGTAGTGCAGCTCGTCCAGGATGGCACATCAATGCGAGCTGTGGCAAGAAGGTTTGCTGTGTCTGTCAGCGTAGTGTCCAGAGCATGGAGGCGCTACCAGGAGACAGGCCAGTACATCAGGAGACGTGGAGGAGGCCGTAGGAGGGCAACAACCCAGCAGCAGGACAGCTACCTCCGCCTTTGTGCAAGGAGGAGCACTGCCAGAGCCCTGCAAAATGACCTCCAGCAGGCCACAAATGTGCATGTGTCTGCTCAAACGGTCAGAAACAGACTCCATGAGGGTGGTATGAGGGCCCGACGTCCACAGGTGGGGGTTGTGCTTACAGCCCAACACCGTGCAGGACGTTTGGCATTTGCCAAACACCACCAAGATTGGCAAATTCGCCACTGGCGCCCTGTGCTCTTCACAGATGAAAGCAGGTTCACTCTGAGCATGTGACAGACGTGACAGAGTCTGGAGACGCCGTGGAGAACGTTCTGCTGCCTGCAACATCCTCCAGCATGACCGGTTTGGCGGTGGGTCAGTCATGGTGTGGGGTGGCATTTATTTGGGGGGCCGCACAGCCCTCCATGTGCTCGCCAGAGGTAGCCTGACTGCCATTAGGTACCAAGATGAGATCCTCAGACCCCTTGTGAGACCATATGCTGGTGCGGTTGGCCCTGGGTTCCTCCTAATGAAAGACAATGCTAGACCTCATATGGCTGGAGTGTGTCAGCAGTTCATCTTGAACTTCTTCCATTTTCTAATAATTGAGCCAACAGTTGTTGCCTTCTCACCAAGCTGCTTGCCTATTGTCCTGTAGCCCATCCCAGCCTTGTGCAGGTCTACAATTTTATCCCTGATGTCCTTACACAGCTCTCTGGTCTTGGCCATTGTGGAGAGGTTGGAGTCTGTTTGATTGAGTGTGTGGACAGGTGTCTTTTATACAGGTAACGGGTTCAAACAGGTGCAGTTAATACAGGTAATGAGTGGAGAACAGGAGGGCTTCTTAAAGAAAAACTAACAGGTCTGTGAGAGCCGGAATTCTTACTGGTTGGTAGGTGATCAAATACTTATGTCATGCAATAAAATGCAAATGAATTACTTAAAAATCATACAATGTGATTTTCTGGATTTTTGTTTTAGATTCCGTCTCTCACAGTTGAAGTGTACCTATGATAAAAATTACAGACCTCTACATGCTTTGTAAGTAGGAAAACCTGCAAAATCAGCAGTGTATCAAATACTTGTTCTCCCCACTGTATATATATATTTTTTAATCCATTTTAGAATTAGGCTGTAAAGTAACAAAATGTGGGAAAAAATGTGCTTACCTCTGTCACACAGATGTCGGACTAGGTTAGTGGCCACCCTGGAAAATGAGAAAAATATATTAATCAATAGTTACCACTGTAAATTGACTGATTTACCAGTACAAACAAATTCACCCAACGTATACGTTCATCCAATTGTTGGTTCATAATCATACAAGAGTTTATAATTTTACACAAAATCTATTTGTGAAATGTTGAGATTAATGTGATGGAGAGATGTCTGTGTGTTCCTACCCTGTTCCCAGTGAGTGGCCCCAGACGTTGAGGGGTTTGCTCCCCACCCTCTCCTTCACCCACTGGTAGAGGAACAGGGCATCTGACGTCATGCCTCTCTCAGAGGGGCTCCCATCTGAATCACCCCAACCTGGAACAACCAGAGAAGTATGAACGATAAAGAAGCCCCTGAATGTTGATCTAAGGTCAGATTATCTTTTTAAGAAAAGGGGTATTGTGATGGTTAATAAACTCAGAAACAGACCGAAGTAGAACCCCACTTACCTCTATAATCAAATGTGACTACATGGTAGCCTAATGCACTAAGGACCTGGGGAGGGGAAACCAAAACGCATCAAATCTCAACTCCAGATCAGACTGAAAGCAGGTCAATTCACAAACAATTCATTGAATTCTGTTTGTTGGTCAGTCCTCAATATAGCTAGATACAGTATGGGTGGGATAAAAGCGTAGCAAGTGCAAGTGTGTCTGCAATGAAATCCTCTCACCTTGTAGAGTTGAACTCTATGGTCCCCTCCTCTGAAAGAGACAGAATGGACAAGTTTATCAACCAGGTGAAAGGTAAAGCATTCCTCACAAACAGCCATTCTGAAGAGTGCATTATGTTTATATGTACACGTTCCAAGGTTGTGAGCTTCAACAAACAAATATTAAAAGGCGGATGGTTGTCATGTGAGTTAATGGTCCCAGACCAGAGGCAAGGTGTACGCCAGGGGTACTGGACCAGAGTAACACTTTTTAAATCAAAATGTATGATCACCTTGTCCCTGCGTTGCCGTGAAGGTACAGCATGACTGGATAGGGGGATTTAAAGGTACTGTCATACCACGCTCTGTCCTTCCCCTGCGCCTCTTTCCACATCTGGGCTGGGACTGTGTGCCTGGGTGGAACAGGAGCAGTGACATAAACAAGGAGAAAGCTGTAAGCAAGCAATGTACAGAATAGACGCCTACTATAGACTAAGAGGTGTGGGGTGGGATAGGTTGACACACAAGTCAAACTGGTTTGATATAGGCTAGTATCTCATCTGTACTTGAGTCTAACATAGGACACAGACTGTACTGTAAGAACTATCAGATTAGAGTAGGCTACATGTTTTACATAACAGGACACACAACCATGTTCTAAGAGAATAGCCCTGAACAGAGACTTGTCTATATACATATCATCACCTCAGCCTTTAGTTTCCATCTACTACAACCCACACTGCTAAACTCCTCTGGGCTCAACATGCCTTTCCCACGGTCAACGTTCCCCAGTTAGTCTGCTCGAGTTCCTACCCCCCAACCCCCCCCCCCCCCGGCCTTAAACATCCACAGGGACTGCTGTGTCTTCCCACCCTGTGGTCCAGTGTCACTGTATCATTCTCACACACACACATAAAACACACATTGCACCCCAGGAGGCAGTGTGCTGTGTGTTAGTGTTTGAGCCAAGGGGTTCATCACACTCTATGAGACAGCTAGAGGCCTAATAGGCAGGAGAGAGCGAGAGAGAGAGCTGAGAGAGAGAGAGAGCTGAGAGAGAGAGAGAGCTGAGAGAGAGAGAGAGCTGAGAGAGAGAGAGAGCTGAGAGAGAGAGAGAACTGAGAGAGAGAGAGAACTGAGAGAGAGAGAGAGAGAACTGAGAGAGACAGCAGAACCCGAGACAGAGCTGCATTTCCTGACAAAATATCAAAAATAAAACAATTAGTGTTATTTCCCCAAATTTGAAACCCTTATTCAAGGTTTCAAAGACCCCTCTGATGACAGGTGTCTTCCTGTTGGGGGAGAGCTGTGGGTTAGCAGCGCACTACATTGCCTCCCGAGTGGCGCAGTGGTTTAAGGCACTGCATCGCAGTGCTAGCTGTGCCACTAGAGATCCTGGTTCGAATCCAGGCTCTGTCGTAGCCGGCCGCGACCGGGAGACCCATGGGGCGGCGCACAATTGGCCCAGCATCGTCCAGGGTAGGGGAGTGGCCGGCAGGGATGTAGCTCAGTTGGTAGAGCATGGCGTTTGCAACGCCAGGGTTGTGGGTTCGATTCCCACGGGGGGCCAGTATGAAAAAGAAAAAAATAATGTATGTACTCACTAACTGTAAGTCGCTCTGGATAAGAGTGTCTGCTAAATGACTAAAATGTAAATGTAAAAATAAGATGAGGGACAGACCAATCTGCACATGTCCTCTATGCCATTGTTATTGTCCATTGTATGGTTATTTTTACACTTGATTATTGTTGTTACTGACTGTCCCATTGACAAATCGTAATTATTATTTTAATGATGTTAATATCGTAAATGAATTACTTAATCACCAAAGTACGCTTTGGTAATATGTATATTGTTACGTCATGCCAATAAAGTAAATTGAATTGAGAGAGAGAGAGAGAGACGAGAGGGAGGGAGAGAGACGAGAGGGAGGGAGGGAGAGACGAGAGGGAGGGAGGGAGAGACGAGAGGGGAGGGAGAGAGAGACGAGAGGGAGGGAGAGAGAGACGAGAGGGAGGGAGGGAGAGACGAGAGGGAGGGAGGGAGAGACGAGAGGGAGGGAGGGGAGAGACGAGAGGGAGGGAGGGAGAGACGAGGGGGGAGGGAGGGAGAGACGAGAGGGAGGGAGGGAGAGACGAGAGGGAGGGAGGGAAGAGACGAGAGGGAGGGAGGGAGAGAGACGAGAGGGAGAGACGAGAGGGAGGGAGGGAGAGACGAGAGGGAGGGAGAGAGAGACGAGAGGGAGGGAGGGAGAGACGAGAGGGAGGGAGGGAGAGACGAGCGGGAGGGAGGGAGAGACGAGAGGGAGGGAGGGAGAGACGAGAGGGGGGAGGGAGAGAGAGACGAGAGGGAGGGAGGGAAGAGACGAGAGGGAGGGAGGGAGGGGAGGAGACGAGCGGGAGGGAGGGAGAGACGAGAGGAGGGAGACGGGGAGGGAGACAGGGACGGAGACAGGGACGAGAGGGAGGGAGACAGGGACGAGAGGGAGGGAGACAGGGACGAGAGGGAGGGAGACAGGGACGAGAGGGAGGGAGACAGGGACGAGAGGGAGGGAGGGAGAGACGAGAGGGAGGGAGGGAGATACGAGAGGGAGGGAGACAGAGACGAGAGGGAGGGAGGACAGAGACGAGAGGGAGGGAGACAGAGACGAGAGGGAGGGAGACAGAGACGAGAGGGAGGGAGACAGAGACGAGAGGGAGGGAGACAGAGACGAGAGGGAGGGAGACAGAGACGAGAGGGAGGGAGACAGAGACGAGAGGGAGGGAGAGACGAGAGGGAGGGAGGGAGAGACGAGAGGGAGGGAGGGAGAGACGAGAGGGAGGGAGGGAGAGACGAGAGAGAGACGAGATGGAGGGAGAGAGAGACGAGAGGGAGAGAGAGAGAGAGAGAGAGAGAGAGAGAGAGAGAGACGGAGAGCGAGCGAGAGGGATAGAGAGACGCCATCATGAACAGCAGATTGTGTTCACTGAGAAAGTGCAGTAATGTCCTGAGCAAAAATCAAATTGGATTCCTACCAAATTATCAAACCATATTAATAAATGAGATACCCTAATTGATAAACATGTAAATCAAAACGCTTGAGCAATCAAGAGCCCCCAGTCTCACTCTTAATGACACAGAAATCAAATGCCTCCTGTATGCAGACGATCTGGTGCTGCAGTCCCCCACAGAGGGGTTACAGCAACAATTAGATAATCTGAAACAGTTCTGTCAGACCTGGGCATTTACCGTCAATCTCAAAAAGACAAACATTATGATATTCCAGAAAAGGTCCAGATGTCAGGGAAACCAATATACTTTTTTACTAGGCTCCGCTCATATAGAACACACACACACACACACATACATACATACATACATACATACAGCTCAAAAAAATAAAGGGAACACTAAAATAACACATCCTAGATCTGAATGAATGAAATAATCTTATTAAATACTTTTTTCTTTACATAGTTGAATGTGCTGACAACAAAATCACACAAAAATTATCAATGGAAATCAAATGTATCAACCCATGGAGGTCTGGATTTGGAGTCACCCTCAAAATTAAAGTGGAAAACCACACTACAGGCTGATCCAACTTTGATGTAATGTCCTTAAAACAAGTCAAAATTAGGCTCAGTAGTGTGTGTGGCCTCCACATGCCTGTATGACCTCCCTACAACGCCTGGGCATGCTCCTGATGAGGTGGCGGATGGTCTCCTGAGGGATCTCCTCCCAGACCTGGACTAAAGCATCCGCCAACTCCTGGACAGTCTGTGGTGCAACGTGGCATTGGTGGATGGAGCGAGACATGATGTCCCAGATGTGCTCAATTGGATTCAGGTCTGGGGAACGGGCGGGCCAGTCCATAGCATCAATGCCTTCCTCTTGCAGGAACTGCTGACACACTCCAGCCACATGAGGTCTAGCATTGTCTTGCATTAGGAGGAACCCAGGGCCAACCGCACCAGCATATGGTCTCACAAGGGGTCTGAGGATCTCATCTCGGTACCTAATGGCAGTCAGGCTACCTCTGGTGAGCACATGGAGGGCTGTGCGGCCCCCCCAAATAAATGCCACCCCACACCATGACTGACCCACCGCCAAACCGGTCATGCTGGAGGATGTTGCAGGCAGCAGAACGTTCTCCACGGCGTCTCCAGACTCTGTCACGTCTGTCACGTGCTCAGTGTGAACCTGCTTTCATCTGTGAAGAGCACAGGGCGCCAGTGGCGAATTTGCCAATCTTGGTGTTCTCTGGCAAATGCCAAACGTCCTGCACGGTGTTGGGCTGTAAGCACAACCCCCCACCTGTGGACGTCGGGCCCTCATACCACCCTCATGGAGTCTGTTTCTGACCGTTTGAGCAGACACATGCACATTTGTGGCCTGCTGGAGGTCATTTTGCAGGGCTCTGGCAGTGCTCCTCCTTGCACAAAGGCGGAGGTAGCAGTCCTGCTGCTGGGTTGTTGCCCTCCTACGGCCTCCTGATGTACTGGCCTGTCTCCTGGTAGCGCCTCCATGCTCTGGACACTATGCTGACAGACACAGCAAACCTTCTTGCCACAGCTCGCATTGATGTGCCATCCTGGATGAGCTGCACTACCTGAGCCACTTGTGTGGGTTGTAGACTCCGTCTCATGCTACCACTAGAGTGAAAGCACCGCCAGCATTCAAAAGTGCCCAAAACATCAGCCAGGAAGCATAGGAACTGAGAAGTGGTCTGTGGTCACCAACTGCAAAACCAGTCCTTTATTGGGGGTGTCTTGCTAATTGCCTATAATTTCCACCTGTTGTCTATTCCATTTGCACAACAGCATGTGAAATGTATTGTCAATCAGTGTTGCTTCCTAAGTGGACAGTTTGATTTCACAGAAGTGTGATTGACTTGGAGTTACATTGTGTTGTTTAAGTGTTCCCTTTATTTTTTTGAGCAGTGTATGTAGCTTCCTGCCACACCTGTAGGGACAGCCAGTGGAACGACCAACCAGAGCAATAACCTGTGTCTTTCTCACCATTTCATTATTGTCCTCATTCATTTCTTACTGTAGTGTTCTGTTCATTGTTACTACTCATTGAGTATTATTATTTGTCTTATTGTTATCTATCTGCGCGTCATCATTGACTTGATATGTGTCTATATATTTGCTTTGGCAATGTATGCAGTAACACTTTCCATGCCAATAAAGCCATTTGAATTGAACTAATTGACAGAGGGAGGGAGAGAGAGAGAGCGCGCGATAGAGACAGGGAGGGATAGAGAGAGAGAAAGAAAGTCGGAGATCCATCCCACACAGTCTTAGCCAAGCAGCTGGTGTGTGTGTGTATGTGTGTCTCCTTACCATACACCAATGTTGACGCCAGTCTCTGGCTGCATGTAGAAGTTAAAGGTGTGGTTCAGGCCATGGTCCTGTGGCCTTTTCAAGTCAATGAAATAGGGCAGCCGCACTGCAGGGGGTGGGGTTGGGTAGACAGAGAGGCTGTGTTAGAAGTGCTAAGACAATAAGATATCACTGACAAAGCAGCAGCTCTCAGCAAAAATCGACGGGCTGCTCCATAAAATGGCAGTGCTCTGCCTCTTTCCACTCTATAACGTTACATGAGACGGTCACAAGTCCCCATCCTCTTCCTGTACAGACGTATACTGTTTCACTTCCTCTCTTAATACTCAGAAAACCTCGAACTGTCTGCCATCCACAAGACATTTTGGTCTTTAAGTGCACTGCAAACCATTCAAAAGATTCCAAAAGAAAATCAGATGTCACAGAGTGGGACAGAAAAGCATGTTAAATCTGATGGGGTTAAATGTTAAACAATGGGTAGATCCAGTCTTGAATACTGATGGGTTGAAACCAAGCAGCTACAAGTTAGAATCAGCTGTGGTCACAACCCACCACTCAGCACTACTGACTCATCAATGTTTCACATGCAATCCTGACCGCTTCTGCCTATAATGCATGAAACTACTACAGTTACACACCCACACCACATATCAGATGGAGTGAGGGAGCGGTGAAGGCTGTGTATTGCATGCTTGCAGATGGAATATACACCCTCAACTGCCTCCGTCTGGAGTTGCGTGCTGTGTTGTGTTTCAGGTTCAGGTGACTCGCACATATTAGCACATGCACCCTTGCTTATGTATGCAGTATGCACACTTACTAAATGAGCTACAAGTATCCACCTACCAAGTGAAACCCCCAGAGGCCAGAGCTAACTGATGAAACAAGCTTATTTAGCCTCATAAAAAAACAACCAATTTCTTAATCAATGCAATGCAAACAACTAGATAGAACAAAACATGCCTTATTGGTTTCTATAGCTACTCACCAAAATTTAAAAATACGAGTTTTGCCTGAATGGAGGGGCATAGTTTGACGATGAAGGGGATGGTTATGTAGACTCCTAGCACCCACAGGAGAATCCTCTTCAATCTGCCCATTAGGCCATATCTGGAACACACATGCAGGGGAGAGACAATGTCAGCATTTTATATTGATCTTCAAAAACCAAAGTAGAAAACGTTACGATTTTAGATGGCTAAAAACAGTTAAGACTACAAAGATCTGCTATCCTTTCCAATTGCACACAGATGTGTACAGTACTAAAACAGTTGTGTTAGTTATCAGGATGAGGGTTCAGAGTTCAGACTGTTTGGGTAATAACAATTCTTCGCTGTTCATACAGAGTAAAACCAGATGTTGAGGTCTTGATATTGACCAATCATGTTGCTTGGTTCTGAGGTTGATGGGGTTCAAAGAGGGTCATGACAAAGTCCTAGTTACAGCAGCCTGTAGTTACCATCCCTTCCTTCCAAACGGATTCATCCAACTAGCCATTGCAGAGTTCCGACTTGGGAGCAGTGGTGCTCTTCATGACCTCAGGCCATTTCAAAGAGATATAAAAAATAACAGCCACAAAATGCTGTGTAAAACACACTGCACCTTAGCCTTGCTCAATGCAACCCTTTATAATGAGGAACTTCTACATGGCCGTAAGTCTGAGAGTCAAGCCTCGTTCACATTACCAATAAGCACTCCGTTACGTTGTGCCGGATGTCATGCATTTCAATGGGGACGTCCACAATGGAGTGGAATCACAACGCCCCCTTGCGGTTGAAGGCTCCATTGTGAGACGGACGCCGCATACTTTAAAATGTTTCAAACTTAGCATCGTCTTCAGTCCAGACAGTGTCGAAGAACAGGAAGTTACCAAAACCACAGAAGATTAAAATGCGGTTTTCGGTGATGGCTTTATGGGATCGCTAGAAACTTGTAAACAATTTCCCATTCCAATAAGAGAGTACCATTTTAATAGTAATGTTAAATAATACACACTGGCTGTTACCTCCCATTTAAGTTTAATGTGATGGTAATGACGTTTGTTTTTGATGATAATTATTAGGTGGAGGTTGCTAGCTACAGTGGTATCGTAAACCTAGCCTGGCTTTTAGCTAGCTAGCTGCTCTGCAGTGCAAGCCAGCTTGACTTGCTATAATGTTAGAGAAACAAGTTGATGAAAAAGTAACTAAACAAAACATGTTTTATTATCACATAAAACAATATATTTATCCTGTCTTTAATTAAAAAGGTCATATTTTCCAATCTACCAAAATAAATGCTTTCTCTAATGAGAGAAAGATCTTCTCCATCTTGCATTACACTTCTCCGTTCAGTAGCGGGGCAAAACTCAGTGAAGATGACGTACGGCAAAATGAAATACGCCACGATCTGTACGGGGCATCACGTGTCTAAATTGGTGTCAGCGATTCTCTGAGCACACCTCGTTGAGTGCACTAAGACCGCACTCAACAAGCTTCATAAGGCAATAAGCAAACAACAAAATGCTCATCCAGAAGCGGCGTTCCTAGTGGCCGGAGACTTTAATTCAGGCAAACCTAATTTCTACCAGCATTTTACGTATAACCAGGTGGACCACCTTTACTCCACACACAGAGACACACAAAGTTCTCCCTCGCCCTCTATTTGGCAAATCTGACCATAATTCTATCCTCCTGATTCCTGCTTACAAGCAAAAACTAAAGCAGGAATTACCAGTGACTCACTCAATACGGAAGCGGTTAGATGACACAGATGTTACGCTAGAGGACTGTTTTGTTAGCACAGACTGGAATATGTTCCCAGATTCATCCAATGGCATTGAGGAGTATACCACCTCAGTCACCAGCATCATCAACAAGTGCATCGACGACGTTGTCCCCACAGTGACCGTACGTACATATCCCAACCAGAAGCCACGGATTACATGCAACATCTGCACCGAGCTAAAGGCTAGAGCTGCCGCTTTCAAGGAGCGGGACACTAATCCAGAAGCTTATAAGAAATCCTGCTACAATGGGGGAAAAAAGTATTTAGTCAGCCACCAATTGTGCAAGTTCTCCCACTTAAAAAGATGAGAGAGGCCTGTAATGTTCATCATAGGTACACGTCAACTATGACAGACAAATTGAGGAAAAATAATTCCAGAAAATCACATTGTAGGATTTTAAATGAATTTATTTGCAAATTATGGTGGAAAATAAGTATTTGGTCACCTACAAACAAGCAAGATTTCTGGCTCTCACAGACCTGTAACTTCTTCTTTAAGAGGCTCCTCTGTCCTCCACCCGTTACCTGTATTAATGGCACCTGTTTGAACTTGTTATCAGTATAAAAGACACCTGTCCACAACCTCAAACAGTCACACTCCAAACTCCACTATGGCCAAGACCAAAGAGCTGTCAAAGGACACCAGAAACAAAATTCTAGACCTGCACCAGGCTGGGAAGACTGAATCTGCAATAGGTAAGCAGCTTGGTTTGAAGAAATCAACTGTGGGAGCAATTATTAGGAAATGGAAGACATACAAGACCACTGATAATCTCCCTCGATCTGGGGCTCCACGCAAGATCTCACCCCGTGGGGTCAAAATGATCACAAGAACGGTGAGCAAAAATCCCAGAACCACACGGGGGGACCTAGTGAATGACCTGCAGAGAGCTGGGACCAAAGTAACAAAGCCTACCATCAGTAACACGCTACGCCGCCAGGGACTCAAATCCTGCAGTGCCAGACGTGTCCCCCTGCTTAAGCCAGTACATGTCCAGGCCCGTCTGAAGTTTGCTAGAGTGCATTTAGATGATCCAGAAGAGGATTGGGAGAATGTCATATGGTCAGATGAAACCAAAATATAACTTTTTGGTAAAAACTCAACTCGTAGTGTTTGGAGGACAAAGAATGCTGAGTTGCATCCAAAGAACACCATACCTACTGTGAAGCATGGGGGTGGAAACATCATGCTTTCGGGCTGTTTTTCTGCAAAGGGACCAGGACAACTGATCCGTGTAAAGGAAAGAATGAATGGGGCCATGTATCGTGAGATTTTGAGTGAAAACCTCCTTTCATCAGCAAGGGCATTGAAGATGAAACGTGGCTGGGTCTTTCAGCATGACAATGATCCCAAACACACCGCCCGGGCAACGAAGGAGTGGCTTCGTAAGAAGCATTTCAAGGTCCTGGAGTGGCCTAGCCAGTCTCCAGATCAACCCCATAGAAAATCTTTGGAGGGAGTTGAAAGTCCGTGTTGCCCAGCGACAGCCCCAAAACATCACTGCTCTAGAGGAGATCTGCATGGAGGAATGGGCCAAAATACCAGCAACAGTGTGTGAAACCCTTGTGAAGACTTACAGAAAACGTTTGACCTGTGTCATTGCCAACAAAGGGTATATAACAAAGTATTGAGAAACTTTTATTATTGACCAAATACTTATTTTCCACCATAATTTGCAAATAAATTCATAAGAAATCCTACAATGTGATTTTCTGGATTTTTTTCCTCATTTTGTCTGTCATAGTTGACGTGTACCTATGATGAAAATTACAGGCCTCTCTCATCTTTTTAAGTGGGAGAACTTGCACAATTGGTGGCTGACTAAATACATTTTTTCCCACTGTATGCCCTCAGACGAACCATCAAAACAGGCAAAGCGTCAATACAGGACTAAGATTAAATCCTCCTACACCGGCTCTGACGCTCGTTGGATGTGGCATGGCTTGCAAACTATTACGGACTACAAAAGGGAAACCCAGCCGCGAGCAGCCCAGTGACGCGAGCCTACCAGACGGGCTAAATGCCTTTTATGCTCGCTTCGAGGCAAGCAACACTGAAGCATGCATGATGGCACCAGCTGTTCCGGACGACTGTGTGATCACGCTCTCCGTAGCCGATGTGAGCAAGACCTTTAAACAGGTCAACATTCACAAGCCACGGGGGCAGACAGATTATCAGGACGTGTACTCAGAGCACGGGCAGACCAACTGGCAAGTATCCTCACTGACATTTTCAACCTCTCCCTGACCGAGTCTGTAATACCGACATGTTTAAAACAGACCACCATAGTCCCTGTGCCCAAGAAAGTGAAGGTAACCTGCCTAAATGACTACTGCCCAGTAGTACTCCCGTCAGTAGCCATGAAGTGCTTTCATGAAAGGCTGGTCATGGCTCATATCAACGCCATCATCCCGGAAACCCTAGACCCACTCCAATTCGCATACCGCAATCTCAATTGCACTCCACACTGCCCTTTCCCACCTGGACAAAAGGAACACCTATGTGAGAATGCTATTCATTGACTACAGCTCAGCCTTTAACACCATAGTGCCCACAAAGCTCATCACTAAGCTAAGGACCCTGGGACTAAACACCTTCCTCTGTAACTGGATCCTGGACTTGCTGACAACACAACAGTGGTGTGCCTGATCACCGACGAGACAGCCTATAGGGAAGGGGTCAGAGACCTGGCAGTGGTGCCAAGACAACAACCTCTCCCTCAATGTGAGCAAGACAAATTTCATTAATCCTGGCGCAGACGAAGATGGTCGCCTCCCAAATAGCTCTTAGGAAACTTTGCGGTATTTTGTTTTAAGTATTCTTTTTTACATTCTTAGCTCAGAAAGTATTTTGTATCATCACATACAGCCGGGGAAAACTATTGGATATCAGTGCGGCAGTAACTCACCAGCATTACGACCAGGAATATGACTTTCCCGAAGCATATCCTTTGTTTGCTCTCCCCAGGGCAATTGAACTGATTCCAGCGGCTGACCAAAAACATCGCCGGCGAAGGAGAGGCACTCGGAGCGGCCTGCTGGTTCAACTAAGGAGGCGCGCACACCACCCACCGCTTCCAAGTATACTACTCGCTAATGTTCAGTCTCTGGTTAACAAAGTCGACGAGCTCCGGGCAAGGATTTCTTTCCAAAGAGACATCAAGGCCTGTAACATACTTTGTTTCACAGAAACATGACCCTCTGGGGATATTCTGTCTAAATCAGTCCAGCCAGATGGGTTCTCAGTTCATCGTGCAGACAGGAATAAATATCTCTCCGGGAAGCAGAAGGGAGGAGGTGTGTGTTTCATGATTAACGACTCATGGTGTAATTGTAGGAACATACA